TAGAAGTGAATTGATTATTATAACATTTTAGTTTTTTGTTAGGTTGCAAGATCTTTGAGGCAGGATATTATCTTTTGCATATTTGTATTCTTAGAGCTAGCATAATCCATTACATAAGGCAGAAAATAAATATTTAACACATTTATGGATGCTATGTTCTTGGTGCTATTTAAAACATTCTATAAGAAAAATCTGAGAATGTTCTATTGGTATCATGGTTAGGGCATTTGTCTTGGGGGTGCTGTCTTTTCTCAGGAAATTGTAGTGCCAGATGTTTAACAGTTCTCTACCACTTGAGACAAGCTTACTACATAAAGGGACTGCAATTTTACAGGATGGTGATGGTTCAGGTGCCAACCTATGTCTTGGTCTCAGCTTTTCCTTCCCAAGCCCTACATAAGCACCAGAGAGGTATTTCAAAAATCTAGTCATATTCCTTGCTTAAAATCTTCCTATGTAAGAGCCTCCCCAACCCCTTTTATGTGTCGATTAGGTGGCCCTACTTCTTCTGTATTTGGGCATGTCTGTATCAGAATATTCATCCCCCACACAGTCTATGTGGATTTGTGGAACATAGATTGGGACAGGCACTGACTTTCAGTTTTGTATCCCTAGAGCTGCCTTGGACACAGTAGACCCATGAATAGATAGCTTCAGATATTTATTCCTGACATTATTGTTTAGTGATATAAATTTTTTTGGCCCACCCTTTAAATAAATTAACAGGACATGGGCCTGTTGCTCAGCTCTCAAGCTGGCCAGAAATACAGATTTCCATGAAAGTCAAGCAAGAAGACAGACGTTATATAATTTCAGGCATGTGCTAATTTGCATGCTTGTGGGCACCCTATTTTATGTAATTGTCCATAAAAATGTGGCATGGAATCTTCATTATTTTTAATATACATAGCACTTGCCCATCCAAATTTAAAAATTTAAACAAATCTACTTTTTTACTCCCAAATATTTAATCACTTTAAGACATTTTTGATATTACAGATTTTGTCCTTAGGTGGAGCTGCTAAAGTTAGTGTGTATATCCGTCAAATACAGTTTTTGCAAGAGTGCATGTACATTTTATATATTGCAAGAAAAGTGTAATTAATAGCTAATTAGGATAATGAAAGTAATATACACCAGATGTAGAGAAGACCTTGTGGAAAATTAGTATGAATTTGATAGCATGTGATTTGGTCAAAGCAAGCTTGTTGAGAAGAATTAAAACAGTGGACATGTGGAGGGACAATCAGTGGCCGTCTAGCTCCTACACCTAGGGAATAATTTAATCAAGTTTGCTATTGTAATACTCAGGGCTTCAAGCTGTTCGGTTTTCACAAGTCGATAACTTGGGATTTGGCCTTGATTCGCAGCATTCCTATATGGTCAAGGTTTCATGTTGAGATGATCCCTTACCAAGTAATTTAATAAAAGCATCTCTGTATAAGAATGGAAAAGTAATCAGGGATCTTGAGTACTCTGATTCAGGCTCCAAATGTTCTAAATACCATTTAATAGAGGTCTACTCCTTGTTCTGTAACTAATTTTCTATTTAATGTTGATTGGTTGGCAGTAGTTCAGTTTTCTTATTCCTTACAAATGTTCACCAGAATCTCTTATTCTAGGAAACTGAAATTTAGTAATTCCTTAGTTGGCTTATATGCCTGCATTTTGAAGCAACATACAAATTTTGTCATGTCTGCCTTATGGACACTATGTCATTTAATCATCACAACAATAAGGTATAGGTATAACCACCATAATTGTTATTATTCCAATTTTCAGATAAGATAACTAAGCCATAGACAAATTAAGAAACTTGCCCAATGTTACATAGATAATAACTGGTGGACCCTAGATTTGAACACCAGTGCTTCACCTTTAGACCACTATTGCTTTTAACACATAAATTGATAATGTTGTAAATGAAAAGAAAAAAAATTACATCTTTTTTGTTTATAATTACACAAAGATATAGAATAGTCTTTTATGTGATGTGTATCATCTTTGTTAAATTACTTCATTGATTTTTATCAAAAGTTACTATATAAATAATATAGCAATACAGCAATAATCTGTGTGATAGGAATTTTTTCCCTATTCCTTAAGGATTATTAATTGATGAGCTTTGAAAATAATCTATTCCTTACCTGCCTTGGGGCAGTAATGTTTAGGCCATATTGCAATCTTGAAATGTCTATAGATAAATAGAAACCTGGTCCACTGACATTACTCAGTAGGAGGTCTGTCAATTGCAGTGTCATGGGTCTACCCTGAGGAACTCAATGGGCATAATATAAACCTCAGTTATGGTTTAAGTTAATATGTCTACCTGGGTGAAAACACTTGACTCTTTAATGGTCAAGAGGGAATTTGTTGAATCTATTTTTTAAAATGAGAAGAACCTATAGATTTAAATGGCCATATGAAAAGTAGAGTAAAAATTGAGCCTTAAATTATTAGTATGAAAGACATCACAGTATGTGACTAATTCTTCAAATTATCTCCTGAGTATAGCAACAATTCTAATACCAAGAAAAACAAAAACTGCATAGATTTTCTCCACTAGTTTCTGTGTAGGTGGGCTATATGTGGTGATGTGAACTGCTCTCTCATATCCTGAGATCATTTCTACTTTTAATTTTTGCAGTGTCTAAAATCTTATTTTATAGATTTCTCATCGACATGGCTTTATGTAATTTCTCATTTGAATTCTGTTATAAATCCTCTTAGGTTACTTTAGTAGTAAAATCTTTTTAGCTTACTCTTTTAGAAAAGGAGAAGTTTGTTTTGTTGAGTGCCCTTTGAAAATCACATTTCTGACTGTGGACTGCTTGAACAGGTGCTTTCTAAGAGACATTGTTTTATATGTTATTTGATTTTCATATACACTTATCCTGTAGTATCCATGGGGGATTGGTTCCAGGATACTATTCCAGGACCCCACTTGGATACAAAAATCCAAGGATCCTCAAGTCCCTTATATAAAATTGTGCCATATTTGCACTTAACCTTTGTAAATCCTCTCATATACTTTAAATCATCTCTAAATTATTTATAATATGTAATACAATGTAAATGTTATGTAAATACTTGTTATACTCTATTGGTTAGGGAATAATGACAAGAAAAAAATCTGTACATGTTCAGCACTGATGCAACTATCCATTATTTGCCAACTATTTTTGATCCAAGGTGGCTGAACCCACAGATGTGGAACTGATGGGTACAGAGGGCTGACTCTCTTTGTTTTCATAGACTTAAGAGTCTAGGACACTTTTACTATCTAGTGAAGTGCTTACTTAATCGAATGACAAATGCTTTCAAAAATATTTTCTTGTTGATTATTTCACTGTGTGTAAGAAAACAATTTTGAAAATATGGAATTTCTTAGTGATGCTAGCAAATAATCAAATGAAAAAATCATTTGTAAGTTGATAGAAAATATTTTTAAAAGAAAATAATGTCTGCATATACAAATAAAGGTTAAAATATAAGAATTGACAATCACTTGTAATAAACTCGAGCTGTTTCTTTGGAGACAGAAGACGATGAATTTTAAAAATCTGATTATAAAAAAAGCTTGTGACCACATATCAACAAGAATAGGAGTAAGAAATGCTGTGTAGACATTAGTTAAGATATTAAGTGTAGAAGAATGTTATACAGGGCAGAATGGATTGTGAATGGGTTACAATTTCTGCGTAATTGGTAAATAAATTCAAGAATTCTTTGTGAAGTACAAAAGCACAATAAACTTAAAAAAAAATAACCAGTTGCAGTGGGTCAAGCCTGTAATCCCAGCACTTTGGGAGGCCGATGGGGGCGGATCACTTGAGGTCAGGAATTTGAGACCAGCCTGACCAACCTGGTGAAAACTGGTCTTTACTAAAAATACAAAAATTAGCTGGGTGTGGTTGTGCATGTCTGTAATTCCAGCTACTCAGATGACTGAAGTGGGAGGATCATTTGAACCCAGGAGAGGGAGATTGTAGTGAGCTGAGATCACGCCACTGCCCTCAAGCCTGGGTGACAGAGCAAGACTCTGACTCAAAACCGAAAAAAAAAAAAAAAAAACAACTTTAACAACTAATAAGAAAATCAGTAAAGTGACCAGTATATACAATTAGATGTACAAAACAAATACTTTGCCTATATACCATTCAATATCTGTTAGAAAATATGATAGAAGAGTTCCATAAAGAAAGAAAAGGGCTGGGTATGGTGGCTCACACCTGTAATCCCAGCTCTTTGGGAGGCCAAGACTGGAGAAGCCCTTGAGCCCAGGAGTTCAAGACCAGTCTGGAAACATTGCAAGACCCTGCCTCTATAAATATGAAAAAATTGGCTGGGCATGGTGGTGCACACCTGTAGTCCTAGCTACTCTGAAGCTGAAGAAGAAGGATCGCTTGAGCCCAGGAGTTCAGAACTGTGGTGAGCTATACTTCATTCCAGTCTGCTGATAGAGGGAGATCCCATCTCTTAAAAAATAAAAAAAAAGAAGAAGAAGAAGAAAAGAAAAGAAAAAAAAAGGGAATAACTAAAAAGGATGTTTTATAATATCTGGAGTCAAATGAATCAAATTTAATTGAAATGTTATTGAGAGATAGAAAACATAGGGTAATGTTAAATGGGATAAAAAGCACTTTGAAATGATTTATAAAAAGTTTATCATGAAAAATGCGTATAATACCAAGTTATCTTTTAAATGCATAGAAAATAGCACAGAAGAAAATACTCCCAAGTATAGACCTTTGTAACTATTATTGGATGGTATTATTTTTCATTTTTATTCTTTTTGTGTTTTTCATAAGAAACATAAATGCTTTTGTGTGATATGAAGAAATATACATCTTCATTTTTTTAACAGTTTAGATGAAAGATAAGTATTTGCTTTGTCTTCCATGTACAGTGTTTGGCCTTATTCAGGAGAGAAGTTTTATATTTTTTTAATCTACATGCTTGTTTTTGTTATTAATTCATATGGTTGTTATCTTCCTTAGAAAGATGTGCGGGACATCCTTACCCCAATTCAGATTGAAGCTGCTTACCACCTTGGTCCTCACGTCATCAGTAAACGAAGCACAGAGGAATTCCCACCACTTCAGCCAATTCTTCAGCAGAAGAAAGAAAAAGACATAATTAAAAAAACAGTAGGAATATTTTCCTTTATCCAAATTATTATGTGGCATTTAACTAAATTTTTAAAATATGGCATCATCCTGAAGAAGTGAACTATATGTCAGAATTTTTTTTAATTTTATGAATTTTTAAAAACATAAAAATAGATTTATGATGTGCCTTGTTTTTCATTTCTTTAAATTGTTTATATTCCCTTTAGGATATTGAACTGAACATTTTAAAATATGCATTTAATCACAACAGTAGATTATCATATAAAATGCTACTGTTCTATTTTTGATGGCTTGCCAGTGAAGAGAGGTATTACTAGAGAGAAATCATAATGGGAGAAGGTTGTATTTATAAGTTAGTTATTCAGTGTCATCATGTGTCCTCAGTTTATCTTCCTCTTCTCATTCTCTGTCTCCCTTGCTTTCATCCTACTCACAGATTCACTCAAGTCTTCATAATCAAATTTCCTTGCTTAGTTTTATCCATTTACAGACACATGTGTTTATGTTAAATACAATAATTTCTTTTAAAAAATCCATTTTCCAGCCACATCCCGGGATCAGTTGCATTTGAGATGGATCCTACATTCTAACCAGTGAACCGTTTTCTAAATTATCCCAAAATATTTAAGTTTCACTGACAATGTATTTATTCTCAGGAGTCCTGTTGTTCAGACCTTTACTGTCTGCCAACACAAAGACATAGTGTTTGTCCAAAAACAGGATGTGTCTGGGCATTGTAAAAAGCCTTCATTAAAATGTTCACTAATGACACACAGAATGTAAAAGATGAAAGGGACATTTAAAGGTCTAGTTCATATCCTGTCCAGACAAAATTGCCCCATAGTCACTTTAAGATAATTGAGCTTACAATCACCATTAGTCTAGTCTAGAATACAGGATCAAATGAAGATAACTGAAGAGCATATTTTTCCCTATACCCTCATATGAAAATATTTATGGAAGTCAGGGGCTGTTTTACTGTTCTGTTAAACTTCAGTCTTCAACATCAGCTCTTTGTAAATGTCTCTAATAGTGAAAATCAATATTGCAAGTACACAAGCCAAAACCTTAGCAATTTGTAGTTATATTAATTTATATTTTGATTCTTAGAACAACCTGCTTTACCAATAGAAATGAGAGGAAAAAAATCATATTTATTTAGAGAGATATTTACACTTCTCCCCCAACTGTAGGCACGCTATTTGACAGTACTCTAGTCACTTCACACTTAATGAGCCTGGCTCCTTCTGACTTTCTAGATCTCTCTTTGCTTTCTGCATCTGTCTCTCTTTACCTATTCCCATTATCTTCCCTTTTATCTCTCTCCATTTTTTCCTTTTGTCCAGCTTATGCCTTGGGTCTTCCTAGGTCCTTTGTAGTATTTATTGATCTTATTAAAAAGTTCAGAGTTAGTTAAATTCTGGAACCCTTATTTAATTTTGTTCAATGTTTCCTCTACGTAAAATTTCTAAGTATCTCCATGTAGCTAATTTCAGTGAATATAAAATCACTGTCACAACATCTGCCAAAATTAAGTGCCATTACTTACGTGTAATAAATGGGATCAAACTGCAGCACCAGAAAATTGAGAGGAACCCAATGAAAAAAAAATCTTGGTAGCTAATAGGCTCCTTCAATGCCTTTAACTTTTTTTCCAAATCTATTTCACTTATAAAATTTGGGCTTTAAATTTTACCTATTTAGAACTTAGCTCCTTTAGCCCTGCAAGTAATTGTCATTTGAAACCTACTAATTCTTACATTGAACTTTTTAAAAGAGATAAAGAGTTGTCAATTTGATGTATCAATTTTATTTTTCTCATGCATCACAGATGTCATCTTCTTTAAAATATATATATATACTTGCGGATTAAATCAAAATAAAAAACATTGTCATTTTATTTCCAGATAAGCTTTGCAAGGTTTTGTGCCCATGAAAATTGTTCTGCTGATTTACAGGTTTCTGCAAAGATTGGGTTTTTCAAGTAAGTATATGTGGTATAGTCTCTGTTATTCATCAAGGGGGGGTAATGAGTGTGTGCATTTGCATTCCCAAAAGAAAAGGAATAAGAGCTAACCCTTGAATATTAACAGCATTTAAAGAATTAGCAACACAATGGTTAATTTTTTTATTGCCCAGAAAATTGTTTATATCACTCAGACTGATATATAATCCAAGTATGACAAATTTAAAAAGGATTAAACCATCTTGCTCTTCTAAATTCATAGAAGGGGAAACAGAGAAAAAGGAAATAGATGTGATGTGCTTTAGAATAGCATCCAGCACAAAGCAAAGACTGGATAATTGTTGGTTGCTGTCATTATTTTATGATGCCAAATAAACCACTGCAATTTTGTATCATATCTGGATCCCCTATATTCAAATCATTTTGCATATCAAAGAGATGATGTGAAAACAAGGACCAGAGAGAGAGACAGAATGAACACTTCAGGTTGAGGATTGATCATAGAAGACAAGTGAAAGAGGGGAAGCAGATGCATCAGTGACAGGGCAGGAAAACAGAGAACTATTTTTGGGAGATTGGGATATAAATGGAGCAGCTTTAATCTGGGGCATGTTGAATTTGGAGGGACTTTTATATGTGGCATTCCGCTTGAAAATCTAGTTCAGGATTATGTTTGGAAGTTCCTCTATCCATTAGTGACTTGTGAGATGGCCCAAGGGATAGAAATGTGAATTTTATAGAGGAAAAAATTATGGATCAAATCTTAGGGAACAGTTTTATTCAAGGAGATTAAAAATGGGGAGTCCCTGTAGGAGACTGAGAAGGCATCTTCAAGGAATTAAAGAGAACCAAGTCCCTGGTGAAATAGCCAATGGAGAAAAGGGAGACAATATTGTAAAATTTGTAAAAAGATAGCATAATGTCTAAAGAAAGGTCATGGAAGTCAGCAGTTATTAATAAAATGTGACTGGTGGCAAAAAAAATGGGCATCACTGGCAAATGCCAAGATAGAACTCTTAGTGCAGAAGTAGCCAAATGAGCCTAAACCAGTGTCTCTTGAGTTTCACACCCACCCACATATCAAATTCCCTATTAGACATGTCCTTTTGGGTGCCCTATAGTTTCAATCTGCCCAGGCACTATCCAGGAATGACAAGGCTGTTAGAAAGTTACCAAAGCCAGAAACCTAGGGCTCAATCTGCATTCTTTTCTCTTTCTTGTTCTTGATATCCAGAACTATTAAGTTCTACAACGCTACCACCTAGATGTCTTTCTTATCCATCATGCTTTGATATCTCTACAGCACTATTACTCCAAACTAGGCACTCACTATACTACCTAGTCACTAAGTTCTCCTGCTTTCTAGGATACTGGCCTTTGATTTTGCATTAACATACACATGTGATAACAGTGCTTCAGTGGCTCATTTTAGACTTAAAATCTAAACTCCTGGATGGTATTTTTCACCAATTCCCCAGGGAGTTTTTCCATCAATGTCTGAATACTTACGGTTGTTTGGCTGTGCCATGCTCTCCTGAACCTCTGTATCTTCTCACTTCTTCTGCCTATCTACCTGATTCACTTTTATTTATCTTTTAAATCTCAGCTGTTTCCTAGGGGAAGCCCCCTGTTGTTCAGCTACTTAAACTTAAGTTCTGTTGTGCCCTTGGTCCTATGGCACTCTGCTCACGATTATTGAGAGTCTGTCTCCACACTGTCCTGGAAGCTGCTGCAAAGCAGGGTCCTGTCCTTTCATCTTTGTGCTCCCAATGCCTAACAGTGCCTGAAGCGCTGCAGGTGACTGGAGAGGTTTGCTGAGAATGGAACAAGATCCCAAAAGGGATCAGATTCATAGGTAGAGGAATTAGCCTTAGTTAAGAATCTCTTTATCTTAAGCTAACAAGCTATGAAAGGGTGCTTGACATTAAGAAATTTCAGTGTGGAAGGAAGGGAAATACAGAGAACTCATGGATGGCTAGGATAAAAAGCAAGTTTATATATGGTAATTGAAGGCATTGAAGATATGTTTGGGAACTTGAAAGGAATGGAAAAAAAATCAAAATAGCTATTATGATAAAGGACAGGGAGTCAACTAGGAATAAGTAAAAAAGTTGACAAATAGGGTTCAGTACCCTACTGTGGTAGGATCACATACGGCCGAGAATCAATTATTTTTACTTAGGTAATGTCAGTTTAGCCTGAGAGTCCATAGTGCAGGGTCAAAAAGCCTTGACCTATTTGATTGATGATTGGACTTTATACTTAAGTTACCCAGATTAACTGCTCAGATAATCCAAAAACAGTGACTACTGACTACTTTGTATCCCAGCATGTAGGGCGGTGCCTTTGTTGATTTCTTAGTTGAATAACTTATAATCTTCCCATTTCTGTATTTATTTTCTTCCTAAACTGCCTAATTGTCTTGGTGTTTTTACCCTCATGTGTCTTTGATAAGAAAACGAGTTGTGTGGGGGAAATCTTTTCTAAGTTGCATGTAAAGGAGTGTTTTCATTTTCTTAAATCAGACGCTTGTGCTATCACCTTTCATTGCAGTCTCTGGCCTACGAGAAAATGAGACATTGACGTTTATAAGAAAATATTACTAACTATGCTTCTTTCCTGAAGAATGAAAATTCATCTTAATGAATTCTTTTTCTTTGTTACATGTTTTTTCACAACAAAATACCTACTTTGCACTTTTAATTGAGAGCGATATTTCTTGTAGCCTATCAAACCCATTATGATTTTAAATGGCATAATGATTTTAAATGGAGTGTAAGGCTGTGTTTCTTGAGGTGTTGTCTCTAAGCCACCTTTATGAGAATCACCTGGATGCTTGAAAGAAATGCAGGTTCCTAGGCCCCAGACCATCCAAGTCAGAACTAAAGGGGACCAGGCCACAGATCTTCACAATTAATAGAGCTCCAAGTTCTTATCACACTGAAACCTAAGAACCAATGTGGTGGTGGTGAAGAGCTTCCAGATTTGAAGTCAAGCTGACCTGGTTCAAATCCCATATCTACTGTATTACTAGTGACCTTTTCAGAGAAGACTTTTAACCTCTCTAGACCTCTTTCCTCATTGCTAAGTGGATAAAAATAGTACCAACTTTTTAAGGTTGTCTTAAAGGGTAATAATGCAGACCAAGTGCCTAGTGCAAAGCCTGATTTACACGAAGGCTCAATAAAAGTCATTACTATTTTTGATATATTGTGGTTGGAATTTCTATAGATAAGATTTTTTAGTTTGGCGATAAAATGAAACATTGCCAATTCTATACATAATTCTGCATATAAACTTTATATCCTGAAAATATAGCTGGCTGTGACTGACTCAGTAGTTGCAGTCTTACAAGGTTTGAAGTGGCATGAATGTCCATATAAAGTAGTAGGCACCATGTTTTTTTAATCAACTAAGAAAGTTACAGGCTATGTATTTCTGTTAGATAAATGATAATTTATTTGAGGAACTTTCAGATGAGAGCGCTTCTAATTAATTTCTTAGACTCACAGTGAAAGGTTCTGACAAAGTGCTTTGTGTTCTAGTAAATTATACTCTATCAGACAAAAATATGTCTCTCCCACAGAGGTGTCCTCTCCCCTTTCTCAGAAACAGTAGAATTGTGACCATATGTTTCATGCATTCTCCCAGCTATAACTCTGCTGGCACTAATGGTATTTATGCACCCCAGAGCTATAAACCTGTTTTAGGTAAATGTATTTACTCAGTAAAGAACATGAGTTTCTGAAGACCACAATAATAAACTGTCAGTAGTACACTAAGCAGTGCTTATCCACTCTCTCTCATCTCTTCATTAAGTTGAGGCTTCCTCCTGTATGTCTAAATGCTTAGGACAATAAACTACATTTAAAAGGACTTCCAGTGCAAAGTAAAGATGAACCAACATGACTTCAAGATTGCAAATATAATAGAAGGTATTAGCCACCACATAGGAAGTTTAAAATCAAATCCTCGATACAGATTACTCATGTAAATGACACCGCAATACATTTCTGCACCTCAGTTGTGCTTCCAGAATGAGTGATGTAAGCTTTCCCTGAACAATTGCTTCTGTATCTGTTAGGAATACTTCTAATTGCAAGTTTTAGAGTATTAAATAATAGTGACTTCGACAATAAAGATATTATTTTGCATAATAAGCAGTCTTGAGGAAGGATGTTCACAGGTTTGGTGAACAGCTATCAAAGACAGGACATTGATGGTTAGCTTTCCAGCTCTCTCAGCTTTTCCTCATGATCACAGTACAGCTGGGCAGCATCAAGCAGGAGAGAAGGGAAAAGAGCAAAAGTGCTTTGTCCCCTTTAAGTTGCCCTTCCAGGAAGGGCAGTGCCTCATTAGATGTATTCTGATTAACCAGACCTGTGTCACCTGTTTATCCCTGATTCCATCATGGTTGAAGGAGAATGGAGTCATCATGATCACAGTAAATTGATCCTGATTCAATTATTTTGTTATTGTGATACATTCTCTGGAGTTGAACCTAGAGGTCTGTCTTCTGAAATATTAAGGGAATGCTGCCTGTCACCTGCATAATCCAGGGCTCTGTTGGCAGCTAAGAAGGGAAATCACTGTTGGCTAGACAATGAGCAATGAGCAACATCTGCCACTATACTGTTAATCCCCCAAAGAGCTAGTCTGATGAAATTGTCCATTTTTAAAATGGAAATAGTAGGAATATTTGCCTCACTGACCGCATAAAGTTGTGGGAGAATGAATTATATGCTTTATAAACTAAGACATGTTAATTACTGGTTCAATCTTTCAATTTAGATTTTTCTGCTCTTCTCCCCTTAACCTCAGTGAGTTTGCCTGTCTTTAATAAAATATTCCTAAATGTCAGGTAATCTGTCTATTCCAATGGGCAAGAATTTTTCAGTGTTGTCTTTTTCCCTGAAGTCAGTAGTAAAGGAAAAAAAGATAAAAATTTTACTTAGGCCTGTAGGCTACTTGCTGCAGGTTACTCTTTTGTCAAATAAATGAGTCGTGTGTCTTGACATAGTGAAGTGTGGTATCAGTTTACATTATATTTTATTCTAGCATCTTGATTAAAAACAAGTTAGCTATCAAGCCCTAATTCATTTTAGGCAGACAAGATGAATTCATTATACTAAGACTTGGGGAGCATTTCTTGCAAAATAAAGCTCTATTATTCACTCAGAAAAAAACATAGAGCCTGGTGCTGCAGTACATCATTTTTCTGTTTTTCCTCTGTCACTTATTAAGTTATGATTCTGTACGTACACAGTACCTTGATTTGTTTAAGTTACATGGATTCTAGGCTGCTTTGTAAATTTCAAGTCTGCATTATGCATGTTTTAATGAAGAATGAACTATGAGTCTCGGGGACAGCTCTGATTCAGTCTTGTCGCACTTCCAGATGTGCACCTGGTTCTTTATTATGTCTCACAGAGGAAGCTGGTAGGTATCTTTCTGAGAGCATCTTGTTAATGAATCAATTTACAGTAAGATGTATATTTGGGGGAAAAAAAGTAGAATTGTAATTATGGTAATGTGGCAAAATAGCTTAAAAATGGAAAATAAACCAGGAATCTAGCTGCTGAAATGTGACCATTGTGTTTCTCTTTAATTTGCTGTTGTCTTGGAACCTAGCTGTTTATGCAGTGCTTTCACCTTCTGTTGCTTGTCTAAGTGCCAACTTCTTTCCCAAAGGTGTTCAGTGACTAATGCTTTGGTTACAAGCCAGAATATTTTATAAATGTCTATTTCTGGGCAGCTCTTCTACAAGTCTTAATTAAACTTTAATGTCAAGCTGAAGTTTACTTTTAGAACCTCTTAGGTTGCTTTAGTCCTAACATGATTATAGAGTTGGGGTGGTGAGGGGGGGGATGTGGGACAGCCATATTCCCACACATTTCCTCTCTCCCATTTAACAGTGACACCAAGCAGATGCATACTACTTAACCCCAAGCTTTACAACACAGGCTTGAGTAAATCACAGCCATTCCCTAAAATGTTGTGGTAGCACACTGTCACTCAGACTCCTCCACCCTGCAGTAGTGCCCAGGGTTTAGAATTACTGCTTTGTTTGTTATTACACATTCTTCCAGCATATCCAACTGCTCACATCAAGGATCCCAACGTAGAGATGATGCATATGGAAGTAGCATTCTTTCCTTTCTTCTCCATGTCTGGAGGAGTTATGAGGAGTGGGGGATCATTTTCTCTAATTCTGTATGGCTTATTGGGGTAAAGAACTGCATCCTATGCCATCTGAAACAATGAAGTTTCTATTATAGTCAGAATAGTACAAATAGATTTCAATTAAATATGGCAATATGTTATATGTTTATTTTGTAATTAATTTACTCATCAATCGGATTGCTCTGAAGCAAGTGCCTGCATCTTTTATCTGTGAAGGGACAGATAGTACATATTTGAGTTTTTGTGGGACAGAGATCTCTGTCCCAACTACTCGACTCTGTACTCGACTCTGTCACTGTAGTGCAAAAGCATGGCTGTGTTCTCATAGAACTTTATTTACTAAAGTAGGCAGACATATGAATTTGGCCTTCAGGCAGTAGTTTACAGACCTCTACTCTATGATATGCTTGCTTTTTACATGGAAATTCTAAAGTATATATATTTTTATTAAAAGTTCCTGATAGTATATTTTGTTTTATAAACGTAGTTTGTCAGTATAACTTAGGCTGGTTGCCAAAATAAGCCAAGATTCAAATATTTTAAAGAAATTAATCCTGGGTTAAAAAATTATAAGAATCTCTCCTAGATAGGAACATAAAGATAGATATAAATATATATCTAGCCTACAGAATTACATGTATATGTCGAACAAAAAACTATATTAGTTCCAAAATTGGAAATTGTCAAAAGCCCCATGGATAATTGAAAGGATAAGATGTGGCATATTCATAAAATGGACTATATACACCAATAATAAACGTTTTACAACTACGTGTACCAATATGTTAATCTCACAAAATTTTGAATAAAAGCCATGCAAAAGAACAGATACTCAAAGATTACATACTCAGATACTCAAAGATTACATTTATATAAAGTACAAAATTGAGCAAAGCCAACTTATTAAAAATCAAGGAGGGTGGGGCCAATAACTGGAAGAAAAAAATCCCAGAGGGTTTTACAGTAGGGATGCTAATATTTTTTCCTTGATCTGCATGCTTAACACATGTATTCATCTTATAAAAAATATTGAGCTGTATAATTAGGTTATGCGCATTTTTCTATGCATGTATTATACTCGGATAAGTTTAAAATAGAAAAACTTTCAAGCATTAAGTGAAGTGCCTGTTTTCTTAGAAGTTAAATTAGAGTTATAAAAGTAGGGAAAAATGTCTAAGTTATTTTATTTGCGTATTCCGAGGTTCATAAGAATAATTCTCAAAAACCATACCACATTTGCAGTTTTGATTTTGCCATGGTCATATGATGTCATTAATTTATAAGTCATGTCAGTAGGTTTATCACCACTAAAACATTAGATTTTCTGGATGGGGTACAGATCACAATGTGGTAACACTAGATATTTACTTACTTAGTGAGGCATTTGGAATTTGTATACCATCATAGAACAGATAAACATGGCTTAAGGCTATAACGTGACAGTATTTATGCTGATACTTTTATAACCTTCTAACAGTCAATAACTTATCCAATAATTTCCCTTTTTTTCTGACATGTTGCTTGGACTCCACCAAACCCTTCTTTATGTTTAATGCAGACATGTACATACCTGCTTATATTTTTGTAATACTATGTTCTTAGGCTCTGAGAAAGCATGTTAATCACGATCCAGCATCTTCTCCCCAAGATAAATTAGTCTAGTGGTGAGAGGAATCAGACAGAGACTTGACATTGTGAAAATACCGCATTATTATAGAGGTGCCCAGTATACTTTGGGAGAGGTGAGAAGCTGCCACCTTATGCTGTTAGGGGAGAGCAGTGCAAGGTGAAGGTGGTTAACAGTGAGTTTTAGCTGGAAGAACAACTAAGAATTATTGACATCCAAGCTAAATCTTGAAGAATAAGTACAAGTCAGATGCATGAAGAGGAGATGTTGACGTCAGAGTGCTAGTTTGAAGGAAGACACAAAACATCTTGATGTATTAGACACCTGTTTGTAGAAAATTGTGAGACAAAAGAATGAATTGTGCAGTGAAAGTGATGAAGCAGGGGCCAACTCTGGAGGGCCTCTGTGTCATGCTAAGGAGTCAGAACTCTTATCTCGAAAGCAATGTAAGGTTCTTAACAGACACATTATCTAGTTTGCTTTCTTGAAAATGACCCTCTGGTAGTGTGAAGATTGGATTAAAGGAGAGGAGAATGACTTGAGACAGATAAATCAATTAGAAACTCAATCCAAGTGAATTTAGGTTCAATCATGACATTTTCAGACTTAAAAAATGTTTCTTGAGCAGCCAATTTAACAATAGTAGTAGAGAAAGAAAAAAAATCATGTCTTTACTATCTCAGGCAAAAAGTGGTTTCTCAGAGCTCTCTTCATAACTCTTGCTCATCTGTGTATTATTTTTTACATTTATTTACACATCTCTCCTTTATTATATCAGCTCTAGGAAGGAGTGAAGTGTGTTGGTATTTGGGAACAATGAACTTAGTGCCTGATTTAGTGTATGGAAACTTTCAATTATATTCATTCATGAATCTTCAAGTAATACTTAAAAGCAGAAATTTTGAAACATGTTCTTAAACTCTGTGCTTACATACTCTGTCTTTAATCAATTCACAAAAACTACTAAATTCCTACTGTATCTTTACTCTTTCCATGAAAAGTTTCTTCAAACACGAATCTTCTCTACAAATGTTGATTCAAAGGACACAATTTAAACATTATTGAAGAAACTTTCTAAATTCTGCACTGCTAAGTGGATATTTATCTTTTTTATCTATCCTCACCAGATATTTTGCTTTGGGTAACATGCTTCTTGACTTTGAACTAATTTTTCCAATTTTTAAATTACTAGAGATCTAAGAACTTCTGTCTTTGGGGAAAGTTTATAAAATGACATGCTGTAACAGAAAGTTTTCCTTAGCACCTAGCAGTTCTAACCCTCTCACTGGGAAAAAAGAATGAACTGTGTAGAAATTCGCAATTGTTTCAGAACTTTAGAACATTCTAGCTATGGCCTTTTAATAAGTTCCTTATGTCTCAAATACTTCATATTTAAAATATTCTAAGGGCTTCATACAGTATACATGACCCAGATCTTCACTGAATGGTAGGTGGTATGGAATAGTATGACTGAGGCTTAAAAATGCTAAATTACTTCCCCACTGGAAAGAACTGCTGGCAGTGCCAGGACTTGAACTCATGCATATGTGTAGATTTGCAGCAATCTATACTTTGCAATACACAGGAGGATGAAGCATTTCTCCAGTTCTGTTTTTAAATTTGGCCTAGTTACTGTTGGGGGTGACCAGCTGCTTCACACTTTAATTCTAGTCCCACAGATTTTAGTGCCACGCACTTGTGGGTGGACATAGTAGTTCTTCCTCATTGCCTTGCTCACTTCTACCAAGCATTCCTTTTAGTCTTCTCCTTTCTACCAGTTCCTTCCATTTTCCTCCCTTGATTCAGGCAGCAGTTAGTTCAATGTCTATTTTAGGCTTGCAAGAAAGAAAAGAAAAACTGCTTTGCCTTTAGAAAACGTTATGAAAAAATCAGGAAAATGTTAAAATTATAGAAGTGAGAGGTTACGCAGAAAAGAAATGAGAAAAGATGCCGTTTTAATTATAGCTCATTAAACTTTCCTTGGGTAATAGGTGACTGAATTTACCAAAAACATGAGAAAGAGTTCTTTTTAATATGGGTTTACATCTGCTTGCATAGGGTCAATCCTATGATTGTTTTTCCAAGAAAATTAGTATTTTATGTTCAGCATAAATTATATACATATATCCTTGTATGCCTATATACAGAGAGAGAGAGAGGGATTTTTATTACCTAAACAAGAACCAAATAATATTACTTAATTTTTAGGCCCCATGAAAATAAAACCTACCTTGCTGTTGGGAGTATGAAGACATTAATGTTGAATGTGTCCTTGTTTAATGCTGGAGATGATGCATATGAAACGACTCTACATGTCAAACTACCCATGGGTCTTTACTTCATTAAGATTTTAGAGCTGGTAAGTACTGTAAACCACAATAGCATGATACTACTTAGTATTTTACTTAATTTTTTAAAAGTAAATGGTAGAATTCACTTCACTGATTTGGGGTATAAGTCTTAATATTTAGGCTCTTAGTTATTTGCAGACTTCTTCCGTGCCCCTGCTCAGAATGGCAAGTTCTTGGGTCTAAAGTCCAAAGGCATCAGCCTCCTGTTTTCCAGTGCTAGGAGTAGGAGGAAGCTGTTTGGGTGCCTTTACATTCTCACTGCCGTAGCCAGCACACGTCTGATGTTGAAATAGTATGCCCCTTGATTGAGGTCCTTGCACAAGTAACATTGATCCTCCATCCTGGACTCCAGAGTTACTGTTCTTTATTTTAAGGTGACACTCAGACAATTAATGGAATTTTCTCTGTCCTTTATCAAATTCACTCGTCTTTTGTCCAGGGACCACACCTTCACACCAGGAGTGACCTTTGACCTCTCACGAATATCTATTACCTTCTTTCTCTAGTGTTTGCAATACTAGCAAAAGTAACCGTGGAAACTCAGATATTCAGACTGTATTTTTAAAGCATTTTATACTTATTGCAATTATAACCTCATTACACCTATTGAGATTATAGCTATTTTGATTAAATACCTTAAACACATTCTCACATACCAGACAGAAGAGGGCCATTAAAATATGAACCTTATGGATTCCTTGCCTCATGATTTTTCAAGGAATTCAGACCCTGGATTAAATAGGGACTATACCAAGATGAATGAAAGCTACAAGTCCAGAAATTTTTTTTGTGGAGAATCTGTTTGAATATTAGGGTATACATCTATACATATATATGTGTGTATATATATACATGTGTATATATACGTACATATATGTGTGTATATATACGCATATATATGTCTGTATATATATTATACACACACATATACACATATATACACACATATACACATATTTATATCATTTATTTATATTTCTATGTATCTCAAACATAAACAAATAGAAAATAGTTTTCCTAGGAAAGCAAATACTTCTGGGATATTCCTTTCCATAACCATCCTTAAACATATGTTACAAACTTTTTATTTCCTTCCTGTCCAAAACAGTTGTTTCATTTTTCCCATTAGGAAGAGAAGCAAATAAACTGTGAAGTCACAGATAACTCTGGCATGGTACAACTTGACTGCAGTATTGGCTATATATATGTAGATCATCTCTCAAGGGTAAGTGTTTTGCATTTATGCCTTTTGTTCACTATCATGAATATTTTTCTATTCTTCCCTATCTTTATGTTGCATATAAAATGTTATAAATATTTTAGCTTAGGGTAGGTAGCTGAATGATGAAATAAAACTGGTTCTTGAAATCTTTGAGCTTTGTGTTTATATTCTTGGCAATGTTTGCTGTTTTAAAGGGGGTGGCATGTTTACATCGAAATGGACATGTGCATGTGTCAATCAGAATTTTGCTCCCCCTACACACCCTTCCCCAACACTCCCCACCCCGCCACCCCCACCCCAGGTGGTCCTGTCTGCCAGGCATGTTACCTCTGCTACACAAAAAGGTGTTTTTGGCAAGAGTCTTCACTCAAGTTGTGAAAGCATTTCTAATTTTGTCAGTCTGGACTTGCCTGCGTTCACATTCAGAGACACCTTTGTCTCTGAATGTTACTTGTGTAAATGTGTGTACTTTAAAATTGTCACAACCCCAACAACTTCCCTGAATCTTACTGCCAAGGGAGGAGTAGCTGATGCCTTTAGAATAGGTTCAATTCTACATTCCATAGAACATAAACTTTTAAGAAGAAAATTCAGATTATAAAAAATGTACTTAAGATTTTTTTTTTAAATGGGCTTTCCTGCTCTGTGTTTTACAGATAGATATTAGCTTTCTCCTGGATGTGAGCTCACTCAGCAGAGCGGAAGAGGACCTCAATATCACAGTGCATGCTACCTGGTATAAGTTATTGTTAAAAAAATGAACTAGAAATGTACCCCCATATTTTGAGGGGGGGATTAGGAAAACCATAAAACTGTGTTCCATTAATTGTAAGAGAAAACTTCCCTTACATGGTCTGCTTTAAAAAAAAACAAACAACATAGTTAAATGGGAGTGACTGGTAATGTTTTAGCTCTTGAGCTATGTTAAGTATTTATTAGATTAGATTAGAGTGGACATGATGTGTCACGAATCACTCTGTGTATTTGAAATCAAAAACAGGATAAACAGTAATAACTCTACAAGATTTAAAAGTGAGGGCAATGACTGACATAGATATATCTCCTAGAGTAAATAGGAAATCGTTAATGACTATTTCATGAGTGAAGTTTCAACATATTTTTAAAAATTCAGAGTAAACATCAAGATGGACTTCATTTTACCTAACACAACAACTTGGTCACCCTCTCATCCTCAAAATCTCTATAAGTAAAATTGATTATAAAGATAGGTTAAGGCAGTACGACACTTGCTATACGGTTTAAAAACTTTTATGATTGATGTGCTTTCTTTGATCATTGAATTAAGTCTTGCAAAAATACTTCTTCAATCTAAAGAGAGTAATAAATTTGTTTCTAAACTACCTATTTATTTTGGTTTTTGTACTACCTAGAACATAAATGTTTTAAAGAAACAACTTTTAATCTAATAAATGTAACTATTTGTTAAAAAAAAAAAAACTCCTCTAGCATTAGAAGCAAATGATAACAGTTTAATGAGAGAAATTTTCTGCCAACCTTGTCCTAAAAAATTTTCACTGCCATATCTGCTTTTATCCCCACTCGTCAAAAAGCATCTAAGCAAACCTCTGAGTATATTAGGTATACAGGGTATGTAATTAGTTCTCTCTGAAGATTTTTCTGCTTGATGAATTCTAACAGGGTGTCTTCTATTTGTGTAGTGAAAATGAAGGGGAAATGGACAATCTAAAGCACAGCAGAGTGACTGTAGCAATACCTTTAAAATATGAGGTTAAGCTGACTGTTCATGGGTAAGTAGACACAAAGGCCTCCTTTCAAATTCAGAGCTGATTTACAGTTCCCTTGCTTCTTACGTTAATGAAAAAAACTGTACTCTAGAATTTTTTTAAAATAAAAACGGTACTATACTTTTTTAATAATTACCTCGTTTTTATAGTCCCTTACTTAGCTGTCCATTATAATAATGCACTCTATAATCATCACTGATACTACATCAAACTAGTACCCTGTTGGAGGAGATTTCTTACTGGGAGAGCCCCAATAAGCTAGCAAGGCCACACTGAGCCTTTCAGTTGTGCACTGTGTAATCCTAATCAGGAATTAGAAAGTGTGCAGTTTGCATAATCATACTCAATGCCCATGTCAAATGTGAAGTTCAGAGAAGTGTGAACTTAGCCAAATCACTATTCTGCAGACCCGTATCTACACGTGTGGCAAATGGATTGCGATGTGAGAGATCTGGTTGCAAGGTGTCCCTTGTCCACTTTTTATACCTATGGGATCACCAGATTCCTCAACTACAGCCCAAGTACCAGAATTCATTGCTTCCTCGTGATTTTAATGATTGAATGGACCCCCCTCTCATCCAAGAAGGAGATGTGTGGAGAAAGAATTAAAGGGGGCTTACGGAAACCTTCAGTAATTATACTGGAACTTATTCATGCTGTTAGTCCTTAGAACTACATTTTTATACAGAAGACATGAGTTACAGAACAAATAGACAGATGAGCCTTTCCTGTTGCTCTAAATCTAAACTGTCCCCCAGTCATTTTATCCACTTAGAAAGGTGATATACAGTCATGTAAATGTAAAATGTCAGTGTCTGATGGAATTGAGTATCAAGTTTGAGATAAAGCAAACAGGCGAAAAAAGGCCATTCACAGCAGAGTAAGACCTAGAGAATCACGAGTAAGCAAATAAAAAGTTCACTGCATGTTTCCTGGTTTTCAGTGTTGATCTTGTCACTCCTCCTGGCTCATGATGAGTGTCTTCCTATTTTTCTGTTATTCACATCTCATTATTTTGAATAAGGAATGTTCACCTGTTAAACTGCCTAAATCTATGCTGATTCCTTTCCTGTTTCATGGGTTTCTAATTTGGGATTACCTAATATTAGCTGCCAAATGTGAGCACCTTATGGAGTAGAGGTCTCCCTAGAAACATATTTCTTAAAGTTTATTGCAGATAAAAATGTTGAATCACAGGCCTTTAAAAGAGAGTGACAGCCTTGTATTGTAACAAAAAATTTATCATACTTAATAATGTTAGACTTGTTCCCCAGATTTGGGGTTCATTATAAGTAGCCAGCAGGGATCATGAGATGGGAAGAAATAACTCAAAAATGGGTAACAGAAATTGAGGTATGAGAACCTTAGGAAAAAGCTAAGAAGTTATCCCACATTTGCCAAATTTACATAAACCACTTAAGGGCTGAAAGAGCAGGAATGGTCAGTAGAATGAGCAAGGTGTAGTGTTGTGGAAAGCAAGAAAAGAATATCAGTGAGGACAGATACTGTCACCTAGGTCAGAGAACATGGCCTTCTTTTTCTTTTTCTTTCTTTTTTTTTTTTTTTTTGAGATAGAGTCTCACTCTATTGCCCATGCTGAAGGGCAGTGGTGTGACCTCAGCTCACTGCAACCTCCGCTTCTCGGGTTCAAGCGATTCTCCTGCCTCAGCCTCCCGAGTAGCTGGGACTACAGGCATGCACCACCACGCCCAGCTAAGTTTTTTTGTATTTTTAGTAGAGATGGGGTTTCGTCATGTTGGCCAGACTGCCCTCAAACTCCTGACCTCAGGTGATGAGCCCACCTTAGCATCACAAAGTGCTGGGATTACAGTCATGAGCGACCATGCCCGGCCACAATTTAATTTCTTTTTAAATAAAATGTATATATGACCACAAAACCAAAAGTATTCCATGGTGACTTTTAAATATGCTATAATCCAGTCTATAGAAAGACTCTTTATGTTATCAAATAAGATAGTTAATTAAATTTGAATTTGTTTCTACCAGGTTTGTAAACCCAACTTCATTTGTGTATGGATCAAATGATGAAAATGAGCCTGAAATGTGCATGGTGGAGAAAATGAACTTAACTTTCCATGTAAGAAAAGTTAATTGTGTTGATATTTGTAACAACCTAAAAGGCTATCACTGACGCATTGCTCCAAGCGACATTGTACACCTGTGATATCCCTCAGCCTCTGTAGACCACGGCTGGCTGGAATGGGGCTGCAGCAGTGGTACTCCTGCCTCTCAGACCCCTACTGCTTTCCTTCCACTTGTCTTGTCTCTGGTATTCAAGCCCATGTCTCCTTACAGGACAGGTGAGAAACAGCATGCAGGAACAGAGAGAATGCCTTGAAACAGGCAAAGTTATGGGGTGAGATGAATTTGCTAGAGACGCACACAGAAAGCAGGACAGGCCAAGGGAAGGCATCTTTGGGTGCAAATCAGTGAAATTTCTTCTTGGTTCAAGCTTATAAAAACCTCAACACTACAAAGTAAAGGAGGCTTTTACCTCCCATCTCCATTTAAGATCACATTGGTCGGCCTTTCAAGCCATAAGTTTACGACCTGTGACAAGCGCTTTATCAATTATTAAGTAACCTTTTAAAGTAAAGAGTACTATCATAATTCAGAAGCATTCGGAGACTGATGTAAACCTAAGTTAAAAACATTTTTGCTGTCAAACTGATATTTTTGTTGTATCAAAGATATTGGTGATTAGTAATTTCCAAAAAAGAATTCTTTGAACCAAAAGCACTGTCCAAGCATTCTTATAATCTATATATGCGAGTAAATCTTGGATTAGGTATAATATTTTGTAAGACAATGCTTTTCAAAATGTGTATTAGAATCATTTGGGGTACCTATCCAAAATGCAAATTCCTGGGCCCTGCCCCAGATCTGTGGAAAAAGAATGACCTTGAAATCCTGTTGACTCTATGTATATTCCAATTTTTGTTATACTAGTTGATACTAATGTTGAAAAATTTTAGTCCTCCTCCACTTTGAAGTCCTATGAAATGCTCTTTAAAACCCAATGGGAGTTTGTGCTTTGATAAACTAAAACAGAAACCAAACTGTATTCTAGATGATTTATTAATTTACAATTAATAGTTAAGTATTTGCTACTAAATTTATAATGTAGTGGCTGGGACTAGAGAAACTTGTGGTATATAGGATTTCTGTGTCTAGCCAACTATGTAGATATTCTTAGAGGTTTAATTGTTGTTAGGCAAACAGAGATGTTTGTGATTTAGATTGATATTTAATGGCATCGAGAAGACCTTGTCTGTAGTATTGGGCACTGCTAGGTATCTGTTGCTGACATTTCCTTCTGCAACTGCCCTGTTCTTTTATGGATTAGCAATTACCACCTGTTCCCAATCTGGAGACACTTTCTTCATCTTTGTCACGTGTTCATAAAATGACTGCAGGTCTGCAGGTCATTTTTTAATCGAGGTGTTGGGATGCATCTCTTTCTGACTTACTGTATTGGTTTTATAGTTAAGCTGCCAGTTCGGTAGGCTATATTTTGGCCCCATTTCCCTTTTCAGGAATCTTCAATCCCCAGATTTATCATCCTGTTATGCATTTTTTGACAAGTATTGTTAAAAACCTGTTGTGCTTTCTCAAAACCCAACAACATACTTTTTTCTGAATGCATCAGCATATAGATCCTGAATAAAAATACATTTTTATTCACTTTCTCCTGCTGATTATCCTCTCAGCACAGAATGCTTTTGCAATAACATCATAGGATTTAGAATTACAATATCTGAGTTTTGGTCATAACTCTTGTCATTTTTTAACTTTTGTCTTGGGAACTCTAAGAACATCTGTTAGCATTTCCCTTAGCTGGTGAATACCAGAATGTTGGCCCACCTCATGAGAACCAAATATTTTTAAAATATGTAATGTAACATACAAATATATATTGTTTGTCTCCTAAGACTGTTTCTCCAATAAACCATCAGCCTGTACTTTTTGTTTTCAACAATACCAAAACTAGAAGGTTAGATATAATGACTCATTCAAAATTAGCAAACTTTAAAAATTCTGACTATGGATATCTTGTCTACCTTTTTTGTGCAGCTGCCAACTATAAACCTCCACCACTATAAATGTTGCATGGAATATATGGGATCACCTCAAAGTTCATTGATATCTGCACTTACATTTATAGAAAACATTTGTTAAAAATTTTTCCTTCTTACCAGGTTATCAACACTGGCAATAGCATGGCTCCTAATGTTAGTGTGGAAATAATGGTACCAAATTCTTTCAGCCCCCAAACTGATAAGCTGTTCAACATTTTGGATGTCCAGGTAAAAATGTATTTCTTCCACCTGACCTTTATTGTGTGTCTTAAATACTAAAATAAATGCAAACCAATCCTTTATTCAAGTAATAATGCGAAAATGGATAACTGTTTTCAGTCACACTGTAAGCTATGAATTCACCATGCATTTATTGAGTTATGCTTTGAATATTATATATTTCATTACAGCTATAGATTTACAGTGCAACTTTTACATTCGATTTAAATAACAGAACCATATTCTACCATCTCCATTGAATAATTATTTTAAGATACATTTTTGTGTGATATGGACCTACAGAAGTAACTTGATTGGTAGACTTCTTCATAGCACTTGAAACTACTGTGCAAATATGAGGATTATAGCCTTTTTTGAAGGAAGCACTATTCAAACCACTTCTTAAGAACCAATATTCTTTCATTGATGGTTCCATCAGAATCGTTTTGAGCTTGCCAGGTTGAAGACAGAAGTCAACAAATCTAAATACGTTTGAGGTCTGATTTTAAAATCCTACTTAAATTCCGGATTCAGAGAGAATATGGTGTTATATTGTTTCCCCTATAAAGGAAAAGAAATATTTAATATCATGCTAATGTTCCAATATCAATTTTTACATTTCTGCAAGGTTTAAGGCCATGTTATCAGCTTAGAACCTATATCCAACCTTCTATAATTCAGCTGGGTTTTTGTGTTTCTGCCACAGACATTTAGTCACTCCCAAATCTGTCAAAAAAAAAAAAATTCTATAATTTCAAAGGTACTTGATATATTTTAGCAAAGATAAGCTACTGGAACTTTTAAAACCATGTTGCTTTTTGCTGTTTTTTCCAATGATGAAAGATAAGATTTCTCTTCCTTTCTATCTTCATAGACTACTACTGGAGAATGCCACTTTGAAAATTATCAAAGAGTATGTGCATTAGAGCAGCAAAAGAGTGCAATGCACACCTTGAAAGGCATGTTCCAGTTCTTGTCCAAGACTGATAAGAGGCTATTGGTAAGTTTCCATTTTTCAGGTTGTAGTTGCTGCTTTCCAACAGAGAAGTGAAACACTTAAAATCAAGTCAATGGGTTTGAGCTGTCACTTCAATAAAAGAGAAGCCAAGTTTAGGTAGTATTCTTGCATGGAAGGAACAAGCACGGTTGGAGAGTTGAGAAAGACCTAGGGTCTATCCCATATATAAATATGTTAGCTGGGCATGGTGGCTCATGCCTGTAAGCACTTTGGGAGGCCAAGGTGAGCAGATCACAAGGTCAGGAGTTTGAGACCAGCCTGGACAACAGAGTGAAACCCCGTCTCTACTAAAAATACAAAAATCAGCCAGGTGTGGTGGCAGGTGCCTGTAATCCCAGCTACGTGGGAGGCTGAGGCAGGAGAATTGCTTGAATCCGGGAGGTGGAGGTTGCAGTGAGCCAAGATCATGCCACTGCACTCCAGCCTGGGCGACAGAGCAAGACTCCATGTCAAAAAGAAAAAAAAAGTTATACAGTTTCATTTTTTTATCTAACAAATGCCCACTATTTGCCAACAAAACATTGTTCCAAACCCTTCAGGACACCAAGATGTTGTCTTCACCTGGGCAGCCTTTGTGGCATGGGTTAATTTTCATTCTTTTCAGCTTAGTGAATGTATGAAAAGAAACTGGAGAAGCAGTCATCACCTTGAAATGATCCACGTTTTACAATAAACATAGAATATGTAACTTAGCAAGACTCTGATTAGAACATTTTTTTAAAAAATTCTGTCCCAGAAGATTGTTAATACAAATAGGAACATATGCTCTATTTTAAATACTTTATTATAATTTAGAAAATAAGCATTCATGTCTTGTTTAAAGATAATTTAAATGCCACTGAGGAAAGCAGATGTTAAATTTCATATTTATGGAAAGATGATTTTCAAAATGCCATTAGAGTATATATTAAATTATATATAAAATATTTTTAAAATATTTTCCAGTGTTGAAAATTTTAATGTATCACTTTTATATTCCTTTCAAGTACTGCATAAAAGCTGATCCACATTGTTTAAATTTCCTATGTAATTTCGGGAAAATGGAAAGTGGAAAAGAAGCCAGTGTTCATATCCAGTTGGAAGGCCGACCATCCATTTTAGAAATGGTAAGTCTAGGCCGAGCGCGGTGGCTCAAGCCTGTAATCCCAGCACTTGGGGAGGCCGAGACGGGCGGATCACGAGGTCAGGAGATCGAGACCATCCTGGCTAACACGGTGAAACCCCGTCTCTACTAAAAATACAAGAAAATTAGCCGGGCGGAGTGGCGGGCGCCTGTAGTCCCAGCTACTCGGGAGGCTGAGGCAGGAGAATGGCGTGAACCCGGGAGGCGGAGCTTGCAGTGAGCCGAGATCACGCCACTGCACTCCAGCCTGGGGCACAGAACAAGACTCCGTCTCAAAAAAAAAAAAAAAAAGAAAGAAAAAAAAAAAAAGAAATGGTAAGTCTAAAACATATTGACAACTTGGTGGCTAAGTTTACATACAATCTATAAATTCAGTCATATAGGCAGGATAGTATGAAGGCATTCAACAAATAAAATTTTGGAGTAAAACTCTAAAACTATATTTCTGTCACTTCAACTAAGTGAAATGGCTTTAGAAATTAACAGGTAATAAAGGCTAAAATAGGCCAGGCATAGTGGCTCAATCCTGTAATTCCAGCACTTTGGGAGGCCAAGGCAGGAGGATCACTGGAGACTACGAGTTCAAGACCAGTTGTATTCCTAGGTAGATGTGTGGTGTTATTTCTGGGGTCTCTGTTCTGTTCCATTGGTCTGTATATCTGTTTTGGTTAGCCTTGTAGTATAGTTTGAAGTCAGGTAGCATGATGCCTCCAGCTTTCTTTTTGCTTAGGATTGTCTTGGCTATATGGGTTCTTTTATGGTTCCGTATGAAATTTAAAGTAGTTTTTTCTAATTCCGTAAAGAAAGTCAGTGGTAGCTTGATGGGAGTAGCCTTGAATCTATAAATTACTTTGGGCAGTATGGCCATTTTCATGATATTGATTCTTCCTATCCATGAGCATAGAATATTTTTTCCATTGGTTTGTGTCCTATTTCCTTCAGCAGTGGTTTGTAGTGCTCCTTGAAGAGGTCCTTCACATCCCTTGAAAGTTGGATTCCTAGGTATTTTATTCTCTTTGTAGCAAATGGGAATTCACTCATGATTTGGCTGTCTGCTTGTCTATTGTTGGCATATAGAAATGCTTGTGATTTTTGCACATTGATTTTTGTATCCTGAGACTTTGCCAAAGTTGCTTTTCAGCTTAAGTAGTTTTTGGGCTGAGACCATGGAGTTTTCTAGATATACAATCATATCACCTGCAAACAATTTGACTTCCTCTCTTTCTATTTGAATACCCTTTGTGCTTTTTATTTTTCTTTTCTGAGATGGAGTCTCGCTCTGTCCCCCTGGCTGGAGTGCAGTGGCGCGATCTCGGCTCACTGCAAGCTCCGCCTCCCGGGTTCCTGCCATTCTCCTGCCTCAGCCTCCCAAGTAGCTGGGACTACAGGTGCCCGCCACCGTGCCCAGCTAATTTTTTGTATTTTTAGTAGAGACGGGGTTTCACCATGGTCTCGAACTCCTGACCTTGTGATCCGCACGCCTCGGCCTCCCAAAGTGCTGGGATTACAGGCGTGAGCCACCGCACCCGGCCTTTTGTGCTTTCTCTTGCCTTATTGCCCTGGCCAGAACTTCCAATACTATGTTGAATAGGAATGGTGTGAAGACATCCTTGTGTTGTGCCGGTTTTTGAAGGGAATGCTTCCAGTTTTTGCCTATTCAGTATGATATTGGCTATGGGTTTGTCGTAAGTAGTTCTTATGGAGATGTTCCATCAACACCTAGTTTATTGAGGGTTTTTAGCATGAAGGGATGATGAATTTTATTGAAGGCCTTTTATTTTTAAAATATAGCTAAGAAGAAAAACTAAGGCTTTCATAAAATCAAATAAAAACATCAACAAAAACATACTTAAATATATTTTGGACTTCTTCCTACAAAGGAACATGTATATTTATGAGGAGTAGTTTGAGATGAAACTAGTTTTATGTGGAGTTCTGTTTTTCAGCTTTCTCATCTGTTCAATATGGATAAATGAGATTATTTTTATAAGCACTTAGTTCATGGAACATAGGAAGTCAAAGGAAATGGCAGCTGTTTTGTTCAAGTGGAATTTTTGAAATTGTCAAACAGTGCTTAAGATACAGTAGACAGGCAAAGAAGAAATATCCATTTTAGTTTCAACTGTGCAAAAAGCAAAGTCATTGGACCATCAGCAAGTCATTTAACCTTTTGCAGTTTGCCTTCTCTTTTCCTCTAGGTCTAGGTTTCCCATCAGCAGCCATAATTGGCATTTTGAACCAGATGTTTTTGGGGGCTGTCCTGTGCACTGTAGGATATTTAGTAGCATCCTCAGCCTCTACACACTCACTGCTGGTAGTACCACCTCCCACGTTCTGACACTTAACAATTTCTTCAGACATTCCTGACTGTCCCTTAGGATTTCATCACCTCCCTGCTGAGAACCACTGCTCTAGATCTGTATGAAGCTTGTCATTTTTGGCTCTAAAATGTTAAATAACATTTACACAGTAGTTTTAAAGGTCATATCCCTCTTTAAGAATCTGACTGACTAAATATATTCTCATCTCCCTCAGCAAATGCCCACATCTCCTAAAGATTCTTAGAACTCGTAAAGCCCATCTACACGTCCCCAGGCTTCATGGATTCTGCATTATAAAATCCCTGCTTTAGATAATAAAGTTCTGAGTTCATCCACTGATTTTATATTTGAATTCTATAATTTAGAAAAAAATAAAAAGCCCAAATAAGATAGATGCAATATGCGGTGGCAGGGTGGAGAACATTGGTAAATGGTAACTTACCTCTTGCTGTAGTCTAATCAAAGGATTTCAGTAAGATTATACTATATACATTAATACCAAGACCACACTTTGGGAACCAAAGGAAGCACTGCAGTTAATTTTAAGTGGTGAAGTAAATTGGGGAAGGTAAATTGTGAAAACCTCTAGATAGAAGGTAAAGATCCTGACAAATTATTTCTATTAATATGTCTTCAGGAAACAAACCAGGCTATGGTGATCTTTCTTTTATTACACAGGATGAGACTTCAGCACTCAAATTTGAAATAAGAGCAACAAGTTTTCCAGAGCCAAATTCAAGAGTTATTGAACTAAACAAGGATGAGAATGTTGCACATGTAAGATTACCTTCTTAACTGCTGCATTAAAATTATAGGAAAACACATTTCAAGGGTGTCTATAATTACTTCCTTTTGAGTAATTGAGTTGGGAAAGTAGAGTGTGACCAGCTCATAGAGGGTCCTCAATACTTGGTTGAGAGTTGGCATTTTCCACAACTGGCAGGAGGGAACAACACAGCAGTTCTTTTAGAGAGGTGAATTGGGCAGCAGTGAGAATTGGATAGATTGGAGGAAAAGTCATGGATAGAGAGCCCATTACACTCACTGTTTCTGCTAAACAGTTACCAGTGTTTCCTGCAATTATATTAGAACCAGCAAGAAAACAGGGTGGGTACTTCTAAATACTATTGGGGATTATGGCAGGGCTTTAAAGGAAATATAAGCAACTTTTTAAACTGTTTCTTTTTTTCTTTTTTGCTTTTTGGGTTTTACTTTTCTTAATTCACATAGGTTCTCCTGGAAGGACTACATCATCAAAGACCCAAACGTTATTTCACCATAGTGATTATTTCAAGTAGCTTGCTACTTGGACTTATTGTACTTCTGTTGATCTCATATGTTATGTGGAAGGTAAGCATTTAACAATTACCAACATTAACCTACTAACAATTACCAACATTAAACTACTCAAAATGACATTTTCTCAAAGCCTATTTGACTTCCAAGTTTAGATTTAAATATTTCACTATTTTAATGTTAACTTTTTATGTTGCTCAGTACTGATCTCACATTTCTCTTAACACCAAAGTCCTTCTAGAAAAATATGCCTTCTTAATTTGTTTTGAAAGATGTTCCTTTTAAAAAATCATTTGGAAAAGACTGCAAATTATACTGAATGTCAATTTTGAAGAGAATGTGGCATGTCTCACTGAGAATTTCTGCATTAAAAACAAAAATGTTTCTTTAACCCAGTATGTCCCCACTAATTTTTACTGATTACCTCTGTTAAACCTTTATGATTGATGTTACAAAGGATGCAGTTTAAGAAATATTGGTGTTAACTGCTTAGTTATTAGAAATGAGTATAGTAGATAAGAGTGTTTATAACTATACACTAGTGATTTTGTAATGCTATTTTCAGGCCGGCTTCTTTAAAAGACAATACAAATCTATCCTACAAGAAGAAAACAGAAGAGACAGTTGGAGTTACATCAACAGTAAAAGCAATGATGATTAAGGACTTCTTTCAAATTGAGAGAATGGAAAACAGACTCAGGTTGTAGTAAAGAAATTTAAGACACTGTTTACAAGAAAAAATGAATTTTGTTCGGACTTCTTTTACTCATGATCTCGTGACATATTATGTCTTCATGCAAAGGGAAAATCTCAGCAGTGATTACTCTTTGAGAAAGAAGAACTGCAAAGGTAATAATACAGCCGAAGATAATCTCTCAGCTTTTAAATGGGTAGAGAAACACTAAAGCATTCAATTTATTCAAGAAAAGTAAATCCTTGAAAATATCTTGAAATGAAAGTATAACTGAGTTAAATCATACTGGAGAAGTCTTAGACTTGAAATACTACTTACCATATGTGCTTGCCTCAGTAAAACGAACCCCGCTGGGTAGGCAGAGGTTCATTTCAAATACATCTTTGAGACTTGTTCAAAATATGTTCTTTAAAAATATAATTTTTTAGAGAGCTATTCCCAAATTTTCTAATGAGTGGAAGTGGACCATTATCACTTTAAAGCCCTTTATTTATAATACATTTCCTATGGGTTTTGTTTTTTTAGCAGACTATGAATATTATAGGCCTAATGGGCAAACTTCAGACTGAACATGTACACTGGTTTGAGCTTAATGAAATGACTTCTGGATAATTATTTTTATACAGCTATGGATTTCCCCATCTTTCTGTATATATACATGTGTTTAGGTATATATTTACACACCTTTATCAAGCATACCCAGGAGTAAATAGTTAAGAACCATCTTCAAATCTTTTGTTATAAAATATTCGAATTTATATTCTGAAACAAAAGATCGTGTGAGTGTTGCACTTTAGCTCATATACACTGATTTTAAAAATATGGAAACCATACCTCACTAATAACTTTAAAATCAAAGCTGTGCAAAGACTAGGGGGCCTATACTTCATATGTATCATGTACTATGTAAATATTGACTATCACACAAATATTTGCTTGGATGCAATTCTTTGTTAATCTTTACAAATGTAAGTGTTCCTTTGCATGGAAATGAAGAAACAAAATTCATAAATTTAGCTGAAAGATACTGATTCAGTTTGTATACAGTGAATATAAAATTTTCATGAAATGTTAAGTGACAGCTAAAATATTTTTATAGTTTGTTCATATTATATGAGGTTCTATTTTAAATGAAATAACTTTCTGGATTTTAATATCTTTAAATACCTTTTTATTTGCAAATACAATCATTTTTGTAATATTTATTTTATGCTTATGATAGATAATTGCAGAATATAATTTTACCCGATTCTGTCTTCATAAGAGAGCTATGGCTGAATTTTGAACATCCATTACAGGAAGTGATCAAATTAGAGGGCAATTTGGAAAAACAATTCTGGAAAAGATTTCTTTTTTTTTTTTTTTTTTTGAGACGGAGTCTCGCGCTGTGTCACCCAGGCTGGAGTGCAGTGGCGCGATCTCGGCTCACTGCAAGCTCCGCCTCCCAGGTTCACGCCATTCTCCTGCCTCAGCCTCCGAGTAGCTGGGACTACAGGCGCCCGCCACCACGCCCGGCTAGTTTTTTTGTATTTTTAGTAGAGACGGGGTTTCACCATGTTAGCCAGGATGGTCTCGATCTCCTGACCTCGTGATCCACCCGCCTCGGCCTCCCAAAGTGCTGGGATTACAGGCTTGAGCCACCGCGCCCGGCCGAAAAGATTTCTTTATATGAAGTCCCTGCCACTAGCCAGTCATCCTAATTGATGAAAGTTATCTGTTCACAGGCCTGCAGTGATGGTGAGGAATGTTCTGAGATTTGTAAAGGCATTTGAGTAGTGAAACACAAGCACAAAACCTCCTGAACCCAGAGTGTGTATACACAGGAATAAACTTTTATGTTTTTTTTTTTTTTTTTTTTTTTTTTTTTTTTTGAGACGGAGTCTCGCTCTGCCGCCCAGGCTGGAGTGCAGTGGCCGGATCTCAGCTCACTGCAAGCTCCGCCTCCCGGGTTCCCGCCATTCTCCTGCCTCAGCCTCCCGAGTAGCTGGGACTACAGGCGCCTGCCACCTCGCCCGGCTAGTTTTTTGTATTTTTTAGTAGAGACGGGGTTTCACCGTGTTAGCCAGGATGGTCTCGATCTCCTGACCTCGTGATCCGCCCGTCTCGGCCTCCCAAAGTGCTGGGATTACAGGCTTGAGCCACCGCGCCCGGCCTACTTTTATGTATTTTTTAAAAACTTTGTATCGTTATAAAAAGTCTAGTCGTTCTTTCAGAAGACTATCTAGGATCATAGATGAAAAATGTAAGCCCCAATTTAGAAGTGTCTTCTCCAGGATGGTCGCTAAGGAAATTTAAATTTGGTTCTTTCCTACTCAGAAACAACTATATATTTCAGGTTATTTGAGCACAGTAAAAGCAGAGTACTATGATTGTCCAACACAGGCCTCTCAGATACAAGAGGAACACAATTACATATGGGGCTAGATTTTGCCCAGTTCAAAATAATATTTGTTATCAACTTTGTTACCTGTACGATAAATTTTAAAACCCTACCACTTTAAGAAGACAGGGATGGGTTATTCTTTTTTGGCAAACTATGTGATTTTGAAATTTAACTGCTCTGTATTAGGGAGCAGTAAAATCAAGGTAGACTTATGAGATCTGTATTATGTTTATACCAGAATATAGGAAATTTAACATAATCCTGAAAAATAAAAGAATCCAAATTATTTAGGTTAAATATTGATGTATTATGATGGTTGCAAAGTTTTCTGTGTGTCCAACAAACACATTGTAAAAACCAGAATTTGAATCGGTATTTCATCTTGACTTTTAAAGCCCTAGAGACTAATTGTTAGTAACATCAAAAATAGCAATTTATATTAGAATATCTGTTTAAAAAACAGGCATCCCCAACTGGCCACACAGCGGAAAGTTAAAGCAAGTTTCTCCTCCTCTCAGATCAGCAGCAGCATTAGATTCTCACAGAAGTACGAACCCTATTGTGAACTGGTATGTGAGGGATTTAGGGTGCCATATTCCTTATGAGACTCTAATGCCTGATGATCTGAGTTGGAACGGTTTCATCCTGAAACCATTCCCCCATCTATGGAAAAATTGTCTTCCATGAAACTGGTCCCCAAAAGGGTGGGGACCACAGGTTTAAAGCATGGCCATATTTCTTTATATTAAAATTCTAGTTTGTACATTTCTTTTAGAAACAATTACTTGTTACTTTGGAATCATTTATTTCTTCCATGCTTCCTCCATAAAGACTGATAAGTCTTGGATGCAATCTGTAAAGAAAACACATGTATAATTCGTTATTTCATCAACATATTTTGTTATTTTTCACACATACACCTAATAAGTATGGTACACAATGCCAAATACAAATTCATAACATAGCATTCACAAGAGCTGTCATGTAGAAAACACAGCTGTAATCTAGAAAACTGAGGTCTGAAAAATCATCAACAACAGTAATAACTGACTTCCTTGAGTGTCTAATGTTCTCCATTGCTTTTTTAAAATAGTCATGCCTCTAGAACACCCATGTCTAGTGGGCACCCCTGCATGCTGCTTCTAACCACTGAGTGTCACAATGCCTACCAAGGATGAGTTTGTAGGTTCCTAAACCTGTTTCTACCAGTTGCTATGTAAAATTGTTCCGAAGGGAAGTTGAATGCTTTGTAAAGGCCTAATAAAAGCAAATTGCTGAACAAAACGTGTTACAGTAATTATGAGTGAGAGGAAACTAAGATGGAAAGATTAAAATCTAACACTTGACTACTCAGATGGCTCCACTAAAAGGTTTAAGATCTTGATCCATTTTTAAAAATCCAAAATGGAAGTTGTAGACATTATCTGTAGTTTCTGCACAACAATAAATTAGAAAGGCAATGTAGACATGCATAACCACGCTCTACGAAACAGTTGGTGAATAACTGTAAGGTTACTTTTTATTTGTTGAAATTTGTGCATGTCTCTTCATGCTTCCCTGATTTACTGATTTTTTAAAAACTAACCGACTGCCTGCTTTGATAATTCAGAAAGAGCTTTCATTGTACCATTAGATTTACGTTTACTGGTTGACATATAAAGCGGTGAAATAATTAAGACTTACCTAATATGGACCTCTGATGCAACTTCCATTAAATCACCATCTACATTCCAAGGGAAACAATTTTCTGAAGCAGTTTCATCCTCTTCCTCCTCTGGATCATATACACCAGTATTATTCCTTGGATGAACTTTTACTTCCTCAACAGTGTAAGTCTCAACAAATGGAAAATTGAACTAAAAATAAATACAAATAATCATTATACTTGGTTTATCTCTAGCTACTAACACAAAGTTCACTGTGCCCTCTCTCACAAGTAAATATCAACATGTATGCTGACATTTTAATAGCTTTGAGACTATGAGCAGGGATCTCCAATTTTTTTTTGGAAGAAGGAATCTCTTATCCAAAGCCTTCTGGGTTTAGATCTAGCACCTAGAAATATTGTTTTATGACAAATAGTACATATCTGTGAGAAGTTGCATACAATAATGATACTGTAGATTTTTCAATTAAAGATAATATTTAATGCTGGCCTGTAGATACAGAAGACATATAATCCATTGAGTTTATCAACTTGTCAATTAGTTTAGCTGACATAAAGCAAACTAGTGCAAGTTTCACACTTGGAATGTAATTTGAAAGAACTCAGGTCTAAACCTCTGAAGATAAAATGGGATGTATGTCTTCTTTTAAAAGAGGAAGCCAATTAAATATGGATTTTAACAGGTGTTTGCTTGCCCCATTCCCACTTTAACAATGGACATGAGCTGCAAGATCACTGTTTACTTACCACTATAGAATGGTGCAAGGTAAACTTCTACTTGCGTTTTTTTCTTGTTTGCCTAAGGAAACTATACTGAAAAAGCACTATGTATTTTCTGAAATAATTAAGAAAATATAGCCAAGTAACTTTAGCAGGAATGCAAAACTACTCATTTCAGTTTTCAGATAAATGATGAGATATATTCCTAATTAAACACCATCTACATAGTTTTTCCTCTTTTCCACATATAAACCTCAATGCAACACATAGTTTTAAAAGTTGACAGAAAACTAGTATTTTCCCCAACACCCATATTTTACATATGTAGATACCAAAGTCCAGCTGACTTTCTGGTTTATACTATAAACACAGTTAAACAGTACATGATATCATGGCATCAGCTGCTGTGACTGAGGTTCAGAACTAGAGGGCCCCAAGCAAAACTGTTTGACAGTAACTGCATTAGATCTCCCACCTTGGGTATAAAGCCTTGGCTACATGCCTCATCCTTGTAGAATTATCTACATAATCATTCATGTTCGTGTGTGTTAAATGAATTATCAACAACTGCCTATTATGGGCTAAATTACATTTCCCTCCCCCATCTCAACTATGTTCAAGTCCTAACCCATGGTGCCTGTGAATGTCACCTGTTTAGAAGTAGGATCTTTGCAGGTAGAATCAACTTAAGATGAGGTCATTAGGGTGAGCCCTAATCCAATATGCTTGATGTCTTTATGAGAGAAGAATGCCAAGGATGGCAGAGTCAGAGACTGGAGTGATGCAGCTGTAAGCCAAGGAATGCCAAGAATTGACAGCCACCACCAGTAAGTCTATTATCTTAAATCAGCAGTTACCATGTGCACACCTCACAAAATGAAGATCTAGCCATCCTTCAAATGCTTTAACTGTGAAGCCACAGACATTGTTAAAGTGGGACTTTAGGGAGCCAAGAGCTTAGTATCCTGTGTGAGGGTATGTTTGGGGCATGGGGAGGAGAAGTGAGCAGTTACAATTGTGATACACAAAAGTGCCATGATGGTGCAAGCGTGGAGTTCAATGCAGGAAACAAGAGGAGGCAAACAGTCTATGGATGTTGGGAAAGCTTCCCATTTGAATTGAGCCTTAAAGAACACAGAATATTTAGCCTGGAGAAGAAAGTCTGGAGAGAGGAAGCATTTACAAAACTAGAGGCAAATGATGGTCAAGCAACTACACAGAATTCAGTGTGATTCCTAGGTGCTCAATCATGCCCATTGGACCTCACATTCCTGTATTGAAATTCTCGCCCTCTATACCTCAGAATGTAACTGTATTTGGAGATAAGATCTTTAAAGAGGTGATTAAGCTAAAATGATGTCTTCAGGCCCTCATCCAATACGATTGGTGTCCTTATAAGAGGAGGAAATTGGACATAGGAAAAGGCATTGGGGATGAACAGAGGAAAGACCACTCACTTGTGGGTTCAGTGAGACAGCAGCCGTGTGCCAACCAGAGAGGGAAGACCCGGGACAAACCAAACCTGCTGACATCGTCTTGCAGCTCTAGCTTCTAGAACCATGAAAGAAATACGTTGGTTTGTTTAAGCCATCTTTTCTATGGTATTTGTTATGGCAACCTTAGTCAATGAATAAAATGCCAAAACACTGGGAATGTGGTGGAGGGTGTAAATAAGAGATAGGGTTGCAACACAGGCAGGGACCTGGATACAAAGGCCGCGTATTCCAGACTGAGGAAATTCCATATTATTCTGACAACAAGAGTAAGGCACTGAAGAATTAAGCAGGAGAGATATCAAATGTGTGTCTTAGAAAAAAGTTTCTCTAAAAGGACGTATGGAAGACAAGACCAGAGAACTTAAAGGTCAAAAGGAGGCTACTGTAAGCAAGAAAGGATTAAAGTTTGAATTAAGGTAAGGGAGAAATTTTAGAAACAATTTAAGAGGAGACCAACAGAACAAGTTAGGGAACTGGTAGTGAGGAATGAGGAGGAAGGAACAATCCAGGGTAACTTGGATGGGTAGAAAGTGGTGCCATTGACCCGCACAGAGCAACACAGAAGGAACAACTTTAGGGGAAAAGATAAGGTCAGCTGTAGACATGTTGGCCTCCAGATGCCGGTGAGTTTCAGAACCTCTGTGGCATACAAGAAGACAGAGGTTCTGCAGATAAGATGAGATGACAGAACCCTTGGGAGTGTATGATGTTCACATAGTTCAAAAGTGAGGGGCAATGAGGCCATCCAGGAGAGGGCATCCTAAGAAGACGAGAGCGCTGTAAACAAATCCTGGGGGAAGCACTCACATTTAAGGTTATAAACTCCCTACCAAAAATGGTCACAATGAAAGAGAAAAGTGTGGACAGTGAGAAGGGGGGCAAAGCAATAGGATGGAGCTGCAAGGACTTTGAAGGGTAATGTTCACCCTCTATCTAATTTTACATAGAGATGGGGAAGGAACAGGAGCCACTCTGCACATGGTGGTTTCAATCTGTTTTACAGTGTTATACAGTAACGCTCGCTTATTCAACCTGGTTAACATGGTTCAGAGAAGCAGATGTTACTCTCCTTAAACTGAATTGTCATATTTTCCTTCCTGAATACCAGCACTGCTACGAATTATGCAGTAGATATGATTTTTACATAGATCTGATTTTCATAATCTTACAAAATTTATATAAATTCACATTTTTAATGTCACCATGAAGGAAAGAGCCTAAATACACACACCTGTGTAGATAATTAACAGATCAAATTAACATTGCTTGAAAGCAGTCACCCTGGGAATCAATCTAATTATTCTTACTATATACACTATACAAAATATTTTAGAATTATTTGCAAAAAAAAAATAGCATGGATTTTAATTTTTGAAAGTTGATAAATAAATCAGAGTTAAGGCCAGTGAATCACACACTGGCAACTGTTTCTTGTGTCAAAAGCAAGATATGCCTGGTAGAGTACATGAGAAAATATGATAAATCCTGCATAATATTATCTCTTTTAGAAGGCATCTTCCTATCGACACAGATTTGTATTATTTTCTGTATGTCTGTCTTTATGTGTAAGGCAACCACTGCTTTTAAAATCAGAAGAAAGGTATATTGATTTAAAAAAAAAAAAAAGTTTACAAAACTTGCCTAAGAGATTTGCCCCATGGGCAATTTCAAAAGAGATCTTCCATAAACAGTTTGTGCAACATACACCTCCCCAAAATAAGTACAGAACTTCTCAGGGTTACATTAATAGGTTAAGACGATTTAAGTTCTCAAATAGGGGTATATGAATGAGGTTAATAGTCACTTAACTTCTCATTTATGTAATAAAAAAGGATTTGGAAAAACTTCTACCAATGTAACGATACTTATCCTGAGGAACATGGAATTTTGAGTGCTTAAAATCATTTTCTTGTTTCTATTTTCTGACTTAAAAACAGCAATGAATATATAGTGCTTTGGGTTTTTTAAAAATTGATTTTAACGTTTAGAAATTTAGTAAAATGTGAAAATGCATACATTCCTTTGAAAAATCAGTAAGTCTCCATATTCCACCCAAACACATATATAAAGTTGTTACACAGGCTCACAACCTACATTATCTCTGCTGATCTACTTTGACATATAAGGAAGTGGGACTGTATCTAATTTTTTTATGATTTACATTCCTAAGCAGCCCACTTAGTTGTTCAATACATGAGGATCAAATAATGTTATATACAGAAGATCAAACTTCATGAAGATGACCTAAGAAAGTTTGAAAATATAATGAGGCAAAAATAGAGAGACTTGCAATGGCTATGGTACATAAGCAAGGTTCAGCTGCCAGTCATTGGCTGGGTTTACTCTCCTCCTCCTCCTCCCATCTGTGCTCTCCCAACTATATCCAAGCACCATTTTATAACTTCAAGAATGTGTGGGCCGGGCATGGTGGCTCACGCCTGTAATCCCAGCACTTTGGGAGGCCAAGGTGGGCAGATCACGAGGTCAGGACTTTCAAGACCAACCTGACCAACATGGTGAAACCCTGTCTCTACTAAAAATATAAAAATTAGCTGGGCGTGGTGGCGTGAGCCTGTAATCCCAGCTACTCAGGAGGCTGAGGCAGGAGAATCACTCGAACCCAGGAGCTGGAGGTTGCAGTGAGCCAAGATCACGCCATGGCACTCCAGCCTGGGCAACACAGTGAGGCTCTATCTCAAAAAAAAAAACAAAAAGTGTGAAACTATAGGGTTTTACAACCATACCTATGTACTTGAAAGACTCACAATTTCAGAAATTGACATATTTCTAGGATCATTTTCCTAATAATCAGGTCAAAATATCTGCCAAAATAATATGGTTTGTAATACTGTTTCTTTTTAAAGCAAATGACTTAAGTGGAAATATATATCTTCACACATCCTCATTTTGAATGAATATTTATATAAAAGTCTCATATTTTTAAATACATATCTACAGATCTATTTCAATCAATGAGCATACGCAGATATGCAAACAAATGTCAGGAAGATCTAAAGATCATAACTTTAGAAAGTCTGCTGCCATAATATCAAGAAGGCTACACTCTCAAGTTTCACTTCTTTTCATTCTGAAGAACAGCCTGAGTATGTAATTTTATCTTTAATTTACTTCACATTGCAAGAAAACACTACATTTCTTATTTTATCTTTGTGGTTATATATACATAACCACTAATTCATCATTCAAAAAAGGCCAATCTATATTAATACTGGTGGATGCTTTTCAAAATTTGGATGAAACAGATTGGAAAAAAAGTTTAATATATTCAGAAGAAAATAAAACCTTCTTATGAGGCAGGACTCGATGTCAACTCTTGTAGCATCTTCTTCTACATGATTAATAGCTTTACAAATAAGTAACAAAAAGAATTTACTATACCTGATTTTTTACACTGGCATATCTTTTCAGGTGTTTTATAAATTCTGGCCGAGAAGTGTTTCGGGCAATTATAAGAGCCATACTTCCATTATTTAATCTGAAATTAAATATTTCTATTAGACATTAAGAAGTTTACTGAGAGATTATACCAAAAATTATGACACACTGTTCCTTATAACAAGTATACTGTTTATTGAAAGTATTGGACAAGACAGATGAATCACCATGTTACATTTACCTAAAATTCATAAACCGTATCTTGCTATTATTTTTTAAATGATGCAGGCTTTCAAATGAGTTTTATTAAATCATTGGCTTCCTTCTCAATAAGCTCTTACATTAGAGCATTTTACAAACAAACCATCAAGCTTCCTACTCACATATCAAGACATAATTTAAAATACAATGTAATTAGAAACTCTAAATGTGAAACTATGTTGTTAAAAGATGTATTATAGAATAGTTAATATGCACAAGTGGTGTAACAAATAGCTCAACATTTTCTAAAATCTAAAGTGTGATTTAAATATTTATTTATGGACAGAAGGTCTAAGTGACATAGGAAATGAAATAAATCAAAGTGGCCTTTGGATGGATGAAATGGAGTGAACAAATGCTGCCACACATGTTCAGTTAAATGACTGAACATTTTAATCTTGCATAACTGTTCCATCCAATATATGAGACTGAAAATTCAGAGGTGTGATTTAGTGCCAAAACAGCCACTTGCAAATGCATCAAGCTATAGAAGGCAGTTTGCAGAAATACATACAAATGACTTCTAGCTTGATTTCAGTGCAAACGTGAAGTTAATCTAACAACAAAATAAAAAAAGAGCTCTTAGTATCTTATGGAAGCTCAGGTCAGAGCTATAAGGGACCTTAGAGATTATCTCATCATTCACTCATTTCACATAGAAGAAAAAAAGACAACTCCAAGTTTAAGTGATTTGTTCAAAGGCACACGGAGAAAAAATGGTCATCAGCACCAATACCCCAGGTGCTCAGCACTCTTTCCATCATGCTGCTTCTTCCCAATTAAAAATAAACAGCACCAAAATATTCATGGTAGTGTTACTGTGCATCTTTTTTTTTTAATTGCGTAATTTTGTAAACATTAAAAGCATTATCCTATGCCTGCTTTGCAATCTTTACTTGAAATAGAAACACAACATACTGGCTGACACTGCTTTAAATGTCTCACATCTATGAACATATTTACTCTTAGAATACTTAGAATACAAGAATATTAGTTCCTATTGGCAATTGGCACTGAGATACTTTAACATAAATTATTATTTATCATGGTGGGGGGAAAAGCAGAAAGTGAAATCTCCTGTTCAATCATCCTGAATCATCAGAAGCTACATTTCTGAAAAAAATCTCTGGTCAAGTGAGTCTTGATCGAAAGGCCTTTGCAAAGATGGCATGTTGTGAGTATAAACCACAGAAGAAATCTCTAATTAGTCATCCTTCTCTGAAAAATTCATCAATACTGATTAAGCCTGGAAAGTCAGCAGTGGAATCCTAGTCAAGCTGAACATTTACGGAGTGGCTTTGAAGGAGCTATGAATCAACTGCTCCCAGAAGAGGTCTACCCTCCCAAGAAGGTCCTTGAACAAGCAGGGTTAGATAAACATTGTCTCAAGTCCTGCCAAACATAGCTCCTTGGTCAGCTAGCCACGTCTTCAAGTTTAGTCAGGGAAACTACATTACAAAAGCACACAGCTATCTAGGATTTCTGAGGGTGTGGGGGAAAACCACCAGGCTCAATTTCTAAATCACACAAGGTTCAAAATACTCCTTTCAAGTTTTAGCACTAGATGTAATTAATGAGGACCTTGCCATCTGGGTTTTCAATATCCAAGTTTGCAGTTTTTCTGTTTTCTTCTCTAACTTTGAATATTTCCCTGTTTATTGGCTATATTTCACAGCACACGTGATCCTTTCTCCTACGCTCTACAGGATTGGATTTAGGAAAGAAATATTTTCAGCCCCATAATGGACAGCTGCTTAAGAAGAATGTGCAAGAGAAGGAATGTCTATATCCTATGGATAAAAAGATATATATAAGACGTCTCACATTTCATTCCATTGAAAATGTGGGCAGGAGATTGATATGCACTACTATTCACATTAAATAGAACTGAAATGTTTCTTTTGACTAAAGGTATCGGATATGGTTTGGCTCTGTGTTCCCACCCAAATCTCATCTTGTAGCTCCCATAATTCCCATGTGTTGTGGGAGGGACGTGGTGGGAGATAATTGAATCAAGGGGTGGGTCTTTCCTGTGCTGTTCTCATGGTAATGAATAAGTCTCATGAGATCTGATGGTTTTAAAAATAGGAATTTCCCTGCACAAGCTCTCTTGTCTGCTGCCATGTGAGATGTGCCTTTCATCTTCCACCATGATTGTGGGGCCTCCCCAGCAACGTGGAACTGTAAGCCCATCAAACCTCTTTCTTTTGTAAATTACCTAGTCTCGGGTATGTCTTTATCAGCAGCATGAAAACAGACTAATACAGTATCAAATATACATATATGTGATTTTTCATGCTAAGGATGTTTATGTTTGCATTAAAGTTGGAAAGCAAAGACATTCACAAGAAATATCAGCATTTAATATAATGTTCTCCACAACTAAATGAATAAATCAAGCAAAGTAGGCATAAAATTATATCAATGAAACTTAGGAAATATTTTAGCCTCAGTGACCTTAAATAGTCAATGATTATCTGATAATTATTCTAGTTCAACAATTGTTCCCAACCTACTGTGATGACAAATCCCTTAGACTCTCTAATATACAAAGATAAACTACCAGTTAAGTTTCTAGCTAACCAACAGTTAATTGGATATCCTGGAAAAAAATGGTCTATAAGAAATGTATCAACAATTCAATAAAAATGCTTACTAACCTGGTATTAGGTGCCAAGCCTCTAGGTGCCACTGAACACAGGCAAGGAATTGCCATAATGCTGACATTCAAGAACTGACCCTGGATCATTTGCCATTGATCATTACAGTCTAAAGGTAATGAGAGTGATTGGTTATTTTCTCTCACCAGAGCAAAATGTCAACAGAACCTGGCACAGTTCTCAAGGAGATACTTTTGTACTCACCAGATTTGGGAGATCCCTGTGCCCTCCTAAAGGAAAGAAAAAACAAAGCTATAAAACAGGTAATGCGCGCGTGCACACACACACACACACGCACACACAAATCGATTAAATATGAGAAAATTAGTGAACTCATCATTACATATGTTACTTTCTTTGATTAGATAGTAAGTAAAAACGTGTACAATTTTATTGCTGCCAACATAATGTGTTGATTCATTTAAAGATAAACTAGTATTATAAGGAACAATAATTTACTATTTCTTTAAAGACTATAACCCTTCTTTAGTATGGCTTTAATATTTATATTACACACTAGACCAAAATTATCATGAGGGACAAAACTGTGTGTTTTGTTCATTTTTTGATGCATTGTTGTATTCAAAGTGCCTGGCATATAATAGGCACTCAATAAATAGCAAAAGAAAAGGGAAAAGGAAAGAAAGGGAAAAAGGAAAAGAAGGAAATGAAAAAGGAAAAAAATAAATGAAAGAAAAGGGAAAGAAAAGGGAAAGGAAGGGAAAAAGAGAAGGGAATGAGGGAGGGAGGGAGGGACAGAGCAGGAAGGAAGGGAGGAAAGAAAGAAGGAAGAAGAGAAAAAGGCTGAGCAAGTGGTTGTTTGCTTAGTAAGACCTGTAAGAGTCTGTGATTCTATATTCTTTACTACCGTGTTAGAAAAATAACCAAAGATCGTAAGTCTGATCAATTGTTTGTCAGAATGTTTTATGCTTTAAAGAAAGATACAGGTTATCTGTATTACATTGAGTTTTTACCTACCTTTCTTGCACATCATCAGAGCTGTTAAATGGTAAAAATGATATTTCACAGTCTTCTGCCCTAAAATATAATGAAATTTGTTATTAACAGTCATTGAACCTGGGATACAAAATTATTGGTTTAAGAAAAAGACTTACTTAAGTTTTGCCAGTGCCTTAACAACAGCAAAATCTCTCCGTTGGTTAGGGGACATCCATCGATATTTTTCTGCCAGAGCCAAAGTTCTTCCACCAAAGCCAAACATGGCTGAGAACCCAAAGCGAAGAAGCTTGCCAGCGGTGCTGAAGGTGCAGACATCGACCAGCTCTACGTGCCCTTGAATATTATATTAAATATTAGTCAGTGAGTATAGGACTTGTATCAAAACAGCAAATATAAGAGAGCATATTTATTGGCTTATAGGAGACCATCTCAAGGTACAGTAGACCATGAACATCCTTACTTTCTCTTCAGTTCCCTTTATCTGTAACTACAACAATTACCCTTTTTAACTTGTTCAGGTGCTAGTGAAGAAACACAGAGTACTAAATTTTTCAGCTTATTGCTATTTCTATGAAACATGGTCAAAGAAAAGTAGATGGGCAAGGTAAACTTAGATTTAGCAGTAGTTTGGTATTACATACACCTGAGCTTATATGCTTTCTACTAATTGGGATAATAAAATATCTATAGACATACACTGGCTGAAATTTTTTTTCTGGTATGTTTTTTCATTAATAACATAATCCTAGTCCTAGAGCCTTGGTACAGTCCTACAACAGTGTTGGATATACTTAAGGAGTATGCATTAATTTTCTTCATCTGGTTATAAAATTATTTTGAGCACACTACATTCTTTTTCTATAGAGATTATAGTAAAACTTAGTTTACTGCTCTTTACAAAGCAAGTATTTTGAAAAGACAGGCAGTCCACATAGTGAAGCACTACTTTTTTATCTTTTAGTCAAACATTTCTCTACTTTAAGAGACAAAGAACCTGCCTTTCTTTAAAGTCTGATGGAAATAAGATAGCCTTCCTTATATAAATCAAAATTTCCTTATAAAATGTGAACTGCTTTGGAAGAATTCTTACCCATTATAATGTGCAACGTTGCAGTTATCACATGAGGAACTCCATGAAGAGAATGTGCCAGTACATTGGTAGATCCTGCCAAAGCAATTTTAAAACATGCACTATCAGGGTAGAATGTGTTCAATTAACATTTGCTCTTACTTTATATAGATGTCATTCTGCAATGTTCAGATGAAAAATAAATGAGAATTTATAAAATCAGAAAAGTTAATGTGAATATTAGAAGTTCTTATTCACACTATAGATGCACATCAAATGTCTACACAATTATTTGAATATTTAAATTACTTAGGAATTTAAAAATAGTTTATAGTAACCGCTTACAGCTTCTTTGATCACGAATGTCTATTTTCTACCTCCCAAATGCTAGCTATATCAAAGCCCACTCCATCCAACCTTAATAAATGGGTTTTTAGCTTCAATGCCAAAATGAGGATCAACAGCAAAAGGATGCCTCTGGGGAGCAGAGACAAATGCATACATAAATAAAAGAGAAAATAATCCAAATAATAACTCAGAAAAATAAAATAACTACAAGCTACAAAAAATATGCTCTAAATACATTTAATGAGTCTTAGAGGTAAGCTCTTAGCCAAATGAGAATCCCCTGTTATCTCACAAATGTCTCCTACATTGAAGAAAATGTTTAATTCCATTGTATTTTCCATGTATGAAGATTTGTATTTGAAACATTATGATTTCTGATTTTCGTGATTAGAATTTAAGACACACCTGGATTTTCCCCACCAGTCCACAGAGGCAAAGAGCTCCCCAAGTCAGGCCCCTTTAATGTTTATGTGTGACTGAAATCTGAGATACAGGGGACAATACCAGCTAGCCCCTCCCATTCCCAGGAGGCTAAAGAGAATTTAAAATTATTAAGAACAGAATGAATGAAGCTACAATTTTTCTTGAATTAAAAAATATAACAAGCCCAGTAAAAGCCAAGAGCTGTGAAAGCATGGATGTGGTGTGTTCCGGTTATCAAGGCAAAGACCAGTCCTCTGGATTTTGCTAATCAGAAGCATTTCTATGTGATCATACATAATTGCTTCCATTTGTGTTACTTCGAACTGATATGTACTTGGGTTACTAAATTGGAGAAGCTGAGGCAGCTTAGCCATTATCAACCAAGAGGTCATTAAAATCATAATTTTTTAGGTAACTATCTAAGAATAAACATATTTAATTATTAATAATAAATAAGCACAATTACTTTTAGTAATACCAATGCAAAGAAAAGTTTATTGTAATGAACTGGCAAACTGGTTCCAACTGATTCACCAAAAGGCAAGTTATGCTGTGACCCTTGTTACTCAAAATATGGCCTACTGTCAAGCAGGAATGACAATACTTGAGTGCTTATTAAAATGACTTGCATGAGTTGAGAAACAATGTCTTGTACCTCAAGAAGACAATAATGCCCATTCTCACCACTCTCATAAAAATAGTACTAGAAGTTCTAGCCAGAGCAATTAGGCAAGAGAAAGAAAGAAAAGGCTTCCAAATCATAAAGACGGAAGCTAAATTGCCTTTGTTTGTAGGCACAATCTCATTTATTTAGGAAACCCTAAAGGCTCCATGAATGGTCAGAGCTAATAAACAAACTCAGTTACGTTGCAGGACACAAAATCAACATACAAAAATCAGTAGCATTTCTGTACACTTACAACTATCTGAAAAAGAAATCAAGAAAACTATCTCTGCACAGCAAAAGAAACTATCGTCAGAGTAAACAGGCAACCTACAGAATGGGAGAAAAATTGTGCAATGTACCCATCTGACAAAGGTCTAACATCCAGAATCTATAAGGAACTTAAACATATTTACAAGAAAAAAACAATTCCATCAAAAAGTGGGCAAAGGATATGAACACTTTTCAAAAGAAGACATTTACGTGGCCAATAAACATATATATATATATTTTTTAAAAAAGCTAAATATCACTGACCATCAGAGAAATGCAAATCAAAACCACAATGACCATCTCACACCAGTCAGAATGGTGATTATTAAAAAGTCAGGAAACAATAGATGCTGGCAAGGCTGTGGAGAAATAGGAAGACTTTTACACTGTTGGTGTAATGAGATATCTGGGGGGTGGAACCCAAGTCTAAACATAAAAGTTTTATACATCTTATACACATAGCTTGAAGATAATTTTACATAATATTTAAAATATTTTTCTATATGAAACAAAGGTTTGACTGTACTTTGACTGCTACCCATCACATGAGGTGTGGAATTTTCCAGTTGTGGCATCATACTGGCACTCAAAAATTTCTAATGTTGTAGCATTTTGGATTTTAGGCCTTCAGATTAGGGACAGTCAGCTTGTTTATATACACAATGGAATACTATTTGGCATTAAAGAGGTCCTGTCATTTACAACACACAGATGAACCTGAGGGCATTATGAAATGAGACAAACACAGAAAGACAAATACCACATGATCTTACTTTTATGTAGAATCTGAAAAACTTAAACTCATAAAAGCAAACAGTGAAATGGTGGTTACTGGGGCTAATGGGTGGGAAGGATTGGGGAGATACTGGTCAAGGATATAAACTTTCAGTTAAAAGGAATAAATTCAAGAGATCTGTTATACAACTTGGTGACTATAGTTGATATGGTTAGGCTTTGTGTCCCTACCCAAATCTCATCTTGAATTATAATCCCCACATGTCAAGGGAGAGACCAGGTAGGAGTAACTGAATCATGGGGGCGGTTTCCCCCATGCTGTTCTTGTAATAGTGAGTTCTCATGAGATCTGATGGTTTTATAAGGGACTCTTCCCCACTTCACTCAGCATTTCTCCTTTCTGCCACCTTGTGAAGAATGTGCCTTGATTCTTCCTTTGCCTTCCGCCATGGTTGTAAGTTTCCTGCGGCCTCCCCAGTCATGCTGAACTGTGAGTCAATTAAACCTCTTTCATTTACAAATTACCCAGTCTTGGGTATCTCCTTATAGCAGCATGAGAACAGGCTAAAACAAGTTAAGTAACAATGTATTATATACTTGGAAATTTCTAAGAGAGATTTTAAGTGTTCTCAATGTAAAATCAGTATGTGATCATTATATCAATTTTATGCATGTTTATCTTTATTTAGCCATTTCACAATGTATACATGTTTCAAAACATCACATTGTACATAATAAATATATATAATTTTTGTCCATTTAAAAATAAGGATAATGGGTATTAAAACAGTAATAGAAGTATGAATGAAAGTAAACAAATATTTTTAAAATGTTGCCTCTCAGGCCCCATTCCAGACACACCGAATCAGAGTCTGCAATTTATTAGATCCCCAGGTGGTTTGTATGCACAGTGACTTGGTGAGAAACTTCTCTGGAATGCATGGTCCAAGCAGCATCATTACCTGGGAGCTTGTTAAAAACGTACATTCCTGGGTTCTACCTCCAACTCATGGAATCAGAATGTGTTTGGAGGAGAGAGGACCCAGATATCTGTTTTAGCAAGTTCACAAGGTGAGTCTATGGACCCTAAGTTTTGAAAACAAGTAGTATAGAAACCTGTTACTCAGTGGATCTTTATCCAGGCCTTTCCAATGATCTTGTGGCCCTCTACAGCCTGCCCTTTGACCATCTAATTGCTAATAAATCTGGAATGGATTGAGAGAAAAGGAGGAAACAAGTCAATCCATTGTGCTTCCCAATCAGATTTGTGGTAAAGGTTTTGGAGGAGTCCACATAATTAGAGTGAGATATTTAGGATTATCGATGGATCATAGTACTCCATGAAACACATTTCCTCCATTACCATGGTTAATTAGGAGTAGACCATAAAAGCATTCCTCTAGAAAGGCTATTAAAAAACATAATGTAATGTCACATGCAATAGAGAATGACACATATCATGACTTAAGAAAATATAGACCATTTATTCTCTGTGAGTTTGAAGTATGCTGAGTATGCCCAAGTACAAATTTTCTTTAGAATGCTAGAGATGGCTTTAAAAATTGTTCATGTCTTCTCAGGTTTTGCAACTTTCCTCTAAATTCTGTAGAAGCTGGCAGTGATAACGGACATGACTAGAAGTCAGAAAATTATTTTAGTCATTGACTACTCATTAATCTGAACCTCAGTCTTTAAATGTGGTTTTTGACACTCTGAAGAAAAAAGGAAAGTTTATGAGAAAGTATATGTAAGATTGCAAAATGATAGCTTGTTACATATTTTGTTGGGATAATCTGAAAGATGGATTACATTTTGTTTCAGGAAACTGTACTCTATTTGAAAAGATGTCTACATGCCAAAAGAACATGCTGCTCACATAAATAACAATGGTGTAAGTTTAATGTTCTCACAAAAGCTATAAATGTTCTACCTCAAGGTAAACATTTTAATTAGCCTGAAAGTTATTTTTCTTAACACTACCAGAAACTTTGCCCACCACTCCCTCCCGAGAGCTGCTAAAATGTTCCAAATACAAAAAGTAAGGACAGAAGTAGCAGTTCATGTAAAGAATTACTGATGAAATACCAGAGAGAAACTACGGAGGCGAAAAAAAAAAAAAAAAAATTGTCCTTGGAAGTGCAAGCACTTCTGCAGAACAATTAACTTAATTAACCAGACACCATGAATATTCATAAGGCTGTTAATGTCTCCCACATCCAAACAGATAAATGTGATGTAATGACTTCCTAGTCAAGCATATCTAAAATTCTCATGAAAACGGCACCTACACTTTGGTTCTTTGCCTGAAATATCATAGAAATTAACAGTCCCTCGGCAATATTTTATTCTCCTCAAATTAATTGGAAAGCATGAATTTATTTATGCAAACTCTATAGGAATATATGGTTCACAGCCATCAGTATGTGGATTGAGCCTTGTTTTACAACAACTGGATTGCTTTTTTATTTTTATGTCCTCTCAGGCTTTTTTCTCCATTCCCCCTCCCCCTTTAATCAGATTCTCTCAGTATAGTTCCTTAGTACCAGTTCCCATAGCAACAAACACCATTCCTAATGGCCAGCAGTTCAAATACAGGCTTCCCCACATCTGATCCATTTGAGTCTGACCATAATTCAGTGGCTTAGTCTGTTGGCTCAGTGGATTAATTTACTAAACACTCTCCCTCTGGGTGTCTCTCTCCAGGAGGCAAATGGCTTCAAAGGCACACTGTCTCCTCATGTTCAGCTTGAAAATTTCCTGCCTTGTTCTTGTTCCCATTCTCTATCAAAAGCCCTGACTAGGCATAGAGTCCTCATATTAAACATATCCCATACATGACTTTCCCCTCCTATTAGACAGAATTAGAATGCTAGAACTCCTATACAATGACCAGAGTTTTGGCAGCATACTGTGTCTTCTAAATAAGACATGTTAAAATGGCATTACTACAAATATCCAAAGAATACATAAAATGCTCCCCAAATCAGAAATACTCTTAAAAATTATAATAGTGATAAAACTCAATGCTATTCCTTTATAAAATCTGAATTACATACTAAAAACATAAGAATAACCACCAGTTTTTATAGCCAACCACCAAATTTATGTCAAATGCATACCTGTAGGGACACCCATCTTTCTATTTCTGATGTATGGCAGTCAATGAATGACCTCAGGAATTTAAGTACTAATGAAGTGTCCTAAGCACATCCACTTTGCATGGAGGGAAATGGTGGAAAGTTTCCACCATTATAGTCAGAACTACTAAAGTAAAATAAAAAGGTCAAGAAATAAAATGTCATGAAAAGATGGCCCAAAATGCATCATTTTTCTCTCTGAGTCAAAATTTTCTTGTTGTCTTCTACTTAGAAACCATTTTAGGTTTTCCTATATACTCTAGAATTATCAGATTATCTCTGAATCTCTCTCTTCTTTTAAATTCTGACTTTTCTGAAAGACTTTACACTCTAAAAGGGCATTTGAATATCTTATGCTCTGTCAACTTATCAACAATACTAAGTATACTAAAATCCACACTAAATGAATAAAGTTATCAAAATATGAATTTTTCAACCATGTGCATTATTTTCTATAATCAGAGTGGAAAATATTCTGCTTTTTTTTAGTGATAATGTATGACTTTTTAAAATGAATAATTTCCTTCACTATCATTTATTTAAATTATTTGGAATGAGTGACTGTGTAATACAATCAGTTTTTGAATGATGTTTTCGTCTTTTCTGGATCACAGTGTTGCTCTAACGGTTCTCCCTGTCTCTGACCTCTACTTTCTCCTGCCCCCATCCTCTCATCATTCCACACAGTGAGGCAAAATGAATCCTTGAACAAGCTCCAATCAGGTTGCCCCCTTGCTCTGAAACATCCCATTATTCCCTACTGCTGATGAAATACAATTCAGAGCCCTTACTGTGGCATGCAGGAGCCTCCATGGTTGGGCCTATTTTGATACCATTATCTTCCATTGAATGGCCTTTTCACTATTCCTCAAACACTCCTGGGTTTTGCCTTTGCTTTATTACTTCTGCAGCCAAGAAAATAACTCCTTCTTACCTTTTCAGGCCAGCTCCAACCCATTTTAAGGCCTAATCCAAGTATCATTTACTATATAAAGTCTTCTTTACATGTATTCACTTAATAGGCTTCACTGAGCATCACTGTGGCATAGTCTATTCTAGATGCTGAAAAATGGCAGTGAGTAGAAAGATTAAAAAGCCTTGCCATTAAGAATCTCACCCTTCCAAACCTTATCCTCCTTCCAGTCACAAGTAATTTTGGCATTCTCAAGGTTATCTGGTTATACTCCAGTTATGCAAGTTACCATATTCACCTCATATGGAATTATAAGAAGCTAGACTGGAGGGGCCCTGTTTTGAAACTTCCTGCTTCGTACTGTGTAATCATTAGATCTTTTTATGGGAAGGGAGAATAATAACCATTCCATATACTGATGGTTTATCTATATTAAACCCCTTTTTAATCCAAAGGTTAGTACTGCAATAACCTTGTAATAAAGTAATATATCTGTGATCCCTATTCTATAGAGTAGAAAAATAAGGCTCAAAGAGATTAAATGACTTGTAAAAAGTCTCACATTTGCTAGTGGGGACGCCAGAAGTCTGGATCTTTCAAAGTCCGTTCATTAATTCTGTGTTGTGCTGTCTAGGTTAGCAAATAAGAAAGGAAAAGAGGGAGAAGGGTCAGTTTAATGAATCTGTAGCCACTCCCTTGCCTGCTGGTATTAAGCCAAGTGGAAGCTGTGCTCTGACAGGAATCAGGATTCGGTCTGTTTCCATCCCAGCATTCTTCTGGGCTCTCAGAAGCAAAGCATGGGCTACTTCGCTAGCAGATCCATCTCCACCAACACAGACAACACTAGAAAAATATAAATTAAGCAAAGAAGGCAACGCTTCAATATGATTGGTAATAATTCATGAAATCTAGACTTCAAAATAGTTTACTAATTTGTAGTCTATGTGCATGACTGCTCACATGTACCTTCAAACATGTTAATATGTGTCAATGGGTAAGACACAAATGCTACACAGTTAAGTTTACTTCACAAATATAATAGCTGGATAATTCCCCATAGACAAAATAGCTTTAAGTGTGTTAAGAGGTATGAAAACATTTGAACATGTTAACTCACATCTGACCAGCGTTTTGCTCTGTTAACATCCAAAAGCATATCATTCTCATTTTTTGTTAATAATACTGTCATCTGCAATTCATTTAAATAACACCAGCTAAAGTCATAAAATCCTGCTAATTCTCAATAAAGCTCTGAAAAGACAGATAGCAATAAAAATCATGTAGAATATGAAGCTTTAAGAAAATGCTAATTATCATTAGTATATGGATGTAGTAATTACAAGCCTGACCTGAATTTCATCTCCTTGATATTAGTGCTATATGGTACTTCTAGATTTAATATTATTAGTCTTTGATCCTAGATAGTACTACTAGTATATTTTTTAAATCTTTATGTTAAGTAGACTATGGGAGTGGAATCCATGAAAGTAACACATAAGATACTAGAAATTCGTTTCATAATCATTTGTGTTCAAAGGATGCAAAATACTTTTATGTATCAAAATGTCACCAATTTACACAATGGAAAGTGGATTTTTGCCTCAGTGAAAGCACATGTCACAACTCAAGCACTACAAGGGCCCAGCAGGAATGGAAGAGTAGGCTCAATCCAAAGGTGCAGCCTCTTCTTCACTGTGGCCCACTCACATCATGCAGGAGGCCTAATGGAACCAGATCTGGTTTTTCTAGAGAAGCCGGAGATTCTGATTTAAGGCTGTGTCTCCTAATTTGTAAATACTAGCACCTAGCATTCAATACATTTAAAAACATTGTATTTCAGATGAAACTGCCTATGGGCCACAGTCAGCAGTAGTTATTGGTTCTCTAAGTTTAGGAAGCTCTGGAGGGTGGCAACAGGAGGCTGAAAGTGTCTTTTCAGTCTGTTCCCACCATCTTCCTCTCAGCCATCTATTCCCTCTAGTCCCCATCTTCTGCATCCCACTAGCTCCACATAGCCTGGGCAATCCAAGTCCACTCTGGTTAGAAGACTCAAGATATGATCCATGTCATTTTTGATTAGGTCTGTTTTATTCTTAGGTCTAAACTGATTCCAGAGGTTTGCAATGCGACCACCTAGTCAGAGAAAAAGGATATTTACTAAGGACAAACTATATATCAGGTAATATGTTTACTAATTTCTATTATATCCTCAGAAGTCTGCAAAATAGGCAACAGCCTCATCTTTATAAATGAAAAAAACAAGCTTTTATTTGAAATTTACCTGATTTTGAAAATCTCTATGAGATTTCTAATCTATGAACTTAAATGTAACACTTGATCCCTGGCTGTCTAAATGTTGACATATGGGTATGACCACAAAGACTATGTGAAGTCATACCCCCAAAAATCTAATTTAGCACCAAAGAACTCGATCCTTATATACATAGGATGTGAACACTTAACTCCTAGAATCCTGCATACAGTTATAGCATCAAGCATATGTTAATATATTACTAGAGTTATTAGAGGTGGCCTCCCTATGAGCATGTTCTGAAACACCTGAAATTTTGCCCTAATACATTCTATGTTAAATCTTTTGAAACTAATACAAATGACAATTATAACAATAAAGAAATATTTAGTGAATAATTACCATAATATATATATCAGACATTTTCCTTAGCATTCTCCATGTATTAATCCATTTAAGTGGAAAAATAACTAAGCAATAGGTACTATTGCTCTCAATTTACAGATTAGGAAACTAAGACATGGAAAGATTAAGTAAACTTTTTCAAGATTGTACCACTAGTAAGTAAGAGAACAGGGATTTGAAATAAGACAATTTGGCCTTAGAAACTGAAATATCATTCAATATATTAGATACCTTTTGTATATATTAAACCTAATAAAAATAGCCTTATGAGAATTTTGTTATTTTGAAAAACAGTTTACCAGTAGAACCAATGTGAAATTAAGTGAGTTAGAAAAAAATATATTTATTTATGTTAACAACTATTCAGTCATTAAGATCATGTTCACGTACAGTGTCTCAACCTAGGAAATAAGTTTTGTAAAACAAAAATAAAATTCTAAGCCCTCTAACTAACTGAATGGACCCTCCCCTCTTGGCCACAAAGATCCCAAAGAAAATCTGAAAAACTAGTTCAGGTCATAATAGGAAGGGAGGTTAGATATGCCTCCTTATACCCTCTTGTCTTTTGGAGTTTAGGTGCAACTGACCAGCACTGACATTAAGATGTAGATCATAGGCCAGATGTGATGGCTCATGCATGTAAGCCCAGCACTTTGGGAGGCCGAGGAGGGCGGACCACCAGGTCAGAGTTCAAGATCATCCTGGTCAACACGGTGAAACCCCGTCTCTACTAAAGATAGAAAAAATTGGCTGAGCATGGTGGTGCATGCTTGTGATCCCAGCTACTCAGGAGGCTAGGGCAGGAGAATCGCTTGAACCTGGGAGACAGAGGTTGCACTGAGCCGAGATTGCACCACTGCACTCCAGCCTGGGTGACAGGGTGAGACTTCATCTCAAAAAAAAAAAAAGGAGATCGTAAGACTGACAAAACAGACTTTGTAGCAATAAGATCCCCAACTCCAACCTGACTCTGGTATAGCATTAAATAACAAATAGCAGGCCCTAGAGGAAATCAAAGCATTTTACCCCAAAATGTATTTTGTTGACATATTTTGAAATGGCCCTGCAAAGCCATAATTTGCAGGAGAAATTTGCATTCTATAGAGAATCTCCTTCCCTTTCCAGGTCTTTTCCTGATCCATGAGAGATTTAACTAAGAGTTTGATACCCTTTAAGGTCTGATAAGAGATATTGACCATCTATTATCTCTGAAGCCTGATATCTGGAGGCTTCATCTATATAATAAGAACCTGTGATTCCACAATTCCGTTTATCTTTATTTTTATAATTTCTTATTTTATTTATTTATTTTGACATGGAGTCTCACTCTGTTGCCCAGGATGGAGAACAATGGTGTAATCTCAGCTCACTGCTACCTCTGCCTCCTGGGTTCAAGTGATCCTCCTGCTTCAGCCTCCTGAGTAGCTGAGACTACAGGCACATGCCATCACACCCGGCTAATTTTCGTATTTTTAGTAGAAACAGGGTTTTGCCATGTTGGCCAGACTGATCTCAAACTCCTGACCTCAGGTGATCGCCCCTCTTTGGCCTCCTAAAGCGCTAGGATTACAGGTGTGAGCCATTGCGCCCAGCCTACACCACCCTGTTTATCTTAACTCAAGAATTTCTTTCTGATGACTTCTAATCTTTCAGCAAAGCTTATCAACCAACTGACAATCAGAAAATCATTGAATTCACCTGTGAGCTGCCCTTCACCATCAGCTCCATGATGTCCACCTCTCTGGGCCAAATCAATGTATACCACCCTACATTTATTGATTTATGTCTTTGGCTATAACTTCTGTATCCCTAAAATGTATAAAACCAAGTTGTAACCCAACTACTGTGGGCACATGTTCTCAGGACCCCCTGGGGCTGTCATAGGCCGTGGTCACTCATATTTGACTCAAAATAAACCTCTTTAAATACTTTACAGTTTGGCTTTTTTCATCAACAGCTTCTTACAAAAATACCACAAGAGTCTAAATACTACAAGAAAGGCAAAAAGCAAAATATTCAATCATTTATGTGAGTTAATCACACTTGTGCCACTCTAAAACCTAAACCTTCAAGTAACTCATACTTTGCACGTGACAAATCTTGTTTTTACATGTGACAAATCTTGTTTTTAAAATAAGTAAACTCCTTGCATGGACTCCAAACAGAATGATTCTGTCTAGAAAAGAACCACTGGGTGATAATATATCCTTTTTTAAAGAGTGATAAAGATTTTGTTAATGAATGTTTTTATACTTATCTATGAACCCATCATCTATGAAATGTTCAATATATTATTGTAGTTTTGATTCACAGTTTTTTTCTTTCTGGAAAAGGGTTTTTGTTTTTGTTTTTGTTTTTTACCTTACTAAGTAATACAGATATGTTCAATCTGATAAAAAGTCAATATAATCCAAATAATGTCTAGATCATTATGGGTCTAATTAATGGTGAAATGAACAAGAGAAAAAATAACTCAACAATTTTTTTAAAAATTGTGAAACAAATAATAGCAAGGAATTCATATATTTACAATTGCATAAAATCTACAGATTTTTAAAACTATACTCACACTTACAAATGCAAGTATTACTGCTTCAAGTCTATGTAACTGGTATTCTTTTATTTTCCTTCATAAAACTTCCTACTCCTGCCTGGTAAAATAGGGAGCGATATAGAATCTTAAGCTCTTACAAGGTTTAACGGTGGATCTGAGAGTGTTTCCTAGGACACACTGCAGTGGAGAACCAGCTATGGTAAGTGCTGATACACTGTTCTGTTGGGTTTAGAAATGTCACAAGATGTCTCATAGAAACATATGGAACTCATTAAAAAAAATAAAACTCCAAAATCTTAGCAAATAGCATTTCTGAAACATTACTTACCAAATCATTTTGCTTTACTAAATACTATACATAGAATCTTTTTTGGCTCTTAACTTCCTCAGCCTGTATCTAGAAACCAAACTGCTAGGTGATTTCCTAATCACTCCCTATGAATAGCTCCACTAGTGTGAGAGGGAGGTACTTCAGGCTAAAGTTCTTAAAGGAATGTGAATCTGTCTCTCATCAAAATGTCATAGCATTTTGAAGTTAACCTTCTCTCATCTCTGTACCTCTTCTATAAATTTCCCCCAAAATTTTCCTTTAGCCACTCTTTAGAACAGGTTCAGGAACAGAAAACTCACCAATGTAGAATATTCTATTTTCAAACAATTTTACTTGCAAGAGAATTGTTCCTTTGAAGTAACTGAAGAAACTGTTTCTATTATTCTCCTCATATATCTGTCTATATAATTCTAAGTACAGTGACTTACAATTGCCATTTTATTAAGACAATTACTCCAACTACCATATCAGCTTCTACTGGGAAAACTGAACCCACAAAAATAAATAAGCTATTGAAAGTGGTCCCCAACCTTTTCAGCACCAAGGACCTTTTTTTGTGGGAAGATAGTTTTTCCATGGACTGGGGGGTGGGGTGGGGTGGGAGAGGTTTGGTTGCACGATGAAACTGTTCCACCTCAGATCACCAAGCATTAGATTCTTATCAAAAGCATGCAACCTAGATCCCTCGCATTCCCAGTTATATCCCTTGCATGCCCATTTCACAATAGGGCTCGCACTCCTACGGGAATCCAATGCTCCTGCTGACCTGACAGGAGGCGGAGCTCAGGTGGAAACGGTCCCTCTTCCGCCACTCCTCCTGCTGTGCCTCCCAGTTCCTAAAAGGCCACTGCCTGATATTGGTCTGCAGCCTGGGAGTTGGGGACCCCTGATCTAAAGAATCTTAGAACACAGAAGATGACTTTCAGTAGAAATTTTAAATTATTGTAAGTCTGAAATAAATCAGCATGCCCTAGAGTTTAGAAACACTTACATAATTCAAATAACGGTTAGGCCAAACTATTTGGTTTGTAAGACGTAAGTAATAACTGAAAAATCTATATATCTTTTAGCTCTACACTGAAAAATAACAACACTTGCCATGAAAAATAAATAAGGACTAAATATGTTCAGGTAAAGAGAAAAATATTACTATACTACACTTCAGCAATAGTCTTTCTTCATTCTGAAAAGTTATTTTCATCCCTTTAACCAGTACAAATACCAGTAGAACATATTGATAGATACTGCATTCAGCAGAACATTTTGTAATGCTGCTGTGTAAGACCAAGTTTAATATCTGTGATATCTTCATTCTCATTCTTGATCTAATCAAGTTTGAAAGCAGGGACTCATTTGCAATGCCGCTACCTTCATGTACTCATGAGGCCCAGTGAGGGACTATGCAGCATATTCAAATAGGTAGTTGGTGGGCATGATTCCCCCAAGGACTTTTCTTAAATTGTATACTTGTAAGACAATGTTCTAAATGACGCCTATTAATGTTTTTGTTTACCTCTAAGTATAAAGTTCTGAAGTAATCTCTTACCCCATATTTTTCATTCCCAATGCTTATACAGTATTGCTATCTAGATTTACTTCCCTCAATTAGATTCCTTTTGGAAAAATCATGTTTTACCACATTTTCTTTCTCAACAGCTATTGTTTTCTCCTCATCCAAAAAATAAATAAATAAGCATTTCTGAAAAACAGCCCTGCCAATACTTGATTTTGATTGCATCGCTTCCCTCCCCAACACATTCAAATCATTCTTTGGGAAAGTTAATGCCTTTCACTTTGGTGAAAGGACAGATCTAACTCCCTTTCCTGACCTTATGGGTCTTTGCCCCTGCCCGCTGCCCGTCACCATGTAACACAAATAATTCACACACTTGTCAACTTTTTAAATTCTCAAATATCTACTCATGTAAAAAAATCTTCCCTAAAAGAATATAATACGTTTTAGTCTTACACATCAATCCAACACTTTAGCAAATTTTAAAAACCTAATTTTTAAAAATCGCAATTTATATCACTTGCCTTGGTTCTAATGTTTGCATGCCAGTGAACAATCTCTTTACACTTCAATGTATTGCAAACAATGGTTTCCAGTGCCCACTGTGAATAACATACCTCTATTGTAGTCACTACATTATGAGATAATTTAAAATCTTTTTTTTTTTTTTTTTTTTTTTTTTTTTTTTTTTTTGAGACGGAGTCTTGCTCTGTGCCCCAGGCTGGAGTACAGTGGCGAGATCTCGGCTCACTGCAAGCTCCGCCCCCCGGGTTCACGCCATTCTCCTGCCTCAGCCTCCCGAGTAGCTGGGACTACAGGCGCCCGCCACCTCGCCCGGCTAATTTTCTTGTATTTTTAGTAGAGACGGGGTTTCACCATGTTAGCCAGGATGGTCTCGATCTCCTGACCTCGTGATCCGCCCGTCTCGGCCTCCCAAAGTGCTGGGATTACAGGCTTGAGCCACCGCGCCCGGCCGAGATAATTAAAATTCTTTCTTATTCTTTCTGAAAATAATGTATTTATTTACTTGTATTTATGAAATATCTTCCTTCAATCTATCACAAATTAACCAATGGGTAGCTATTAAACCTATCAACTAATTTGTAAAAGAGGATCATCATATAGTTATGCCATGTGACCAGTATAACATCTTCCATCAGTACTTTTCTAGATACATGGTAAAAGCCAATAATTAGAGATGCAAATGGACCCACATTAATAAGTATAGGGTAGTACACTGTCATTTCCCAGTATTTATAATTAGATTCCTCTCTTTGCTTTCCTATGCCAGATCCTGAGAGATGACATATTATCATTAATTATTATGAACAAGATAAAGCCAGAGTACATACATTACAAATATTTTTAAATGTTAGTTCCAAATATGTGGCTAAAACTACTGAAGGCATTTAATACATAAATGACATGATATATATTAATAATATAACCTACCCATCAAATCCCTGGAGTTCACATTCCTTAAGCAGTGACAGAGCGTGCCCTTCATACTCCATTACTATTAAAAAAAACACACACACATAGACAAAGTGAAAGTTTTAAACAATGATCTACACTTTTTAACTTGTTCTGGTAAAATAATATAATAAACATATGGTCGAGTCATAAAACAACATTTATTCTTGAATATTTATATTTTAATCATGGGCAAGAGGACTAAGTGTTAGTGGCCTGATGTGTTTTATAGCTTTATGTAAAAGAAGGTCATATATTTGTTTCAACTACATAAGTCATTTGGGAATATCCCACGCATAGTGGTTACAGAATTTATCCTGGTGCCTGTTTAGTATTCTCTAAATAAGACACATGTACCTTAAATCAGAGGCTTAGGAGGAGCAGTATTTTGAAAATAAAGTATATTAGCTGGCATCAAACAGTCAATGTTAAATCAGTTTGGCAACCTTACATGAATAAATTAGTCGAAAGGTTAGTGTAAGACTTACAAACCAGAAGAATGTGTACTGGAACTGTTAGACTAAAAAGAGGAAGAGTTGGATGTGAAAATACAAAGTAAAGCCAACACCAATTATAGGAGACCCAGACCCAAGAAGGAGGGTGGCACACTGGCCCACCAGAGCTCAGACCCTCCGAGGAAATGAATCTGTCACTCCATATCTCTGTCTCCACAGTCACTGATGCCCTATGCGGTATTGTAAATGCCAGTGAAGACAGGATAAACGGGCACACTGCAGATGGCACCAAGCATCACAACCACATTTAGCATTTTCCAGGGCAGCTCTGCCAGAAGAGACAGCCCAGCTGTATCCACCCATCAAAGATTTCTGCTGACTGACATGACATTGCAGATGGATTTTTTGTGTAAGAATGTGTGTCATTATATGCAAGATTACATTAATCTTTCATGCCTGTCTGTCCCTGGTGCCAGCATGGTTCAAGCTTTTCCTACAATGTTTTTAGATATTGTTAAAAATTATTAGTCTTGGTGTCTCAAAGAATCATTCTGTATCCAGCAGTGTTACATTGTAATTCTCCCATAGCTTATTCAAAATGTCATTAACACTCACATGAATAAAACCTCTCTATATTAAATTCTAATCAGAAGAAAGCCATAATAAAACTACATAAAAATATTAATATTAATAAAGTTGAAAGGTTATCATAGAAGATGTGTGCTGATCATTCATTTATAACTACAGCAAGTAGTTACAACCTTAAAATGCAAAATAAAACATCTCACATATACACATTAAAAATAATTAAGAATATTATGAAAAAATATTTATGCTAAGAATCAGTTTACCAAGCCTTACTTTTATACAAAAGCTTACACTGGTAAAGTTTTCCAAATCCAATAATGAGCTTTAGAACTATGTTATTATTAAATGCTATTTTTACTTTTTTAAATTTATGATAGTGTTTTGATATTGTGGATGGAATTTGATTATACACTAATGCAACCTGTCTGAAAACAGCAATGTTTTAAGTAACATTGTAAAAGTTCAATAAAATCAAAGATCTGGAACAGAGAAACAAAATGAAAAGAACCTGACTATCCACATTTATAAACTATATTAGCAAAATGAACAAAATGAATAGTCTTTGGCCTCAGGAATTTGCATTCTGGAGATAGACAATATACACTAATTAAATGATGAATTGTAATATGAAGTAATAGGTGGTTATAAAAAACAATGTTAGGCAAAAGGATAAAGAGTGATCTGGATTGCTATTTAGATATAGTAGAAAGGACCAAATATGTATTTAGACAGGCTATTGTGGGCCCTGGAATCAGTGACAGCCAGATTCAAATCATCCCCCTCCAAACAAACATAAGGAGAGGATTACCAGACAAATGTAATTTCAAAAAATGTAACCTAGCCTCTTCTTCAATCTATTTGCCTTTTCCTATGAGATTGCCAACCTGTGCTCTCTCTAAATAGGAGATGAGAAGTCTTCACAGTTTACAGGTTTTTGGACACAGTTCTCACTGCTGGGAATGTCCCCCTCCCCTTTTCGGTGCAAATGTAACTTCAGGAACACAAGAGAAAGTCTTAAGGTTGATACTGAATGTTGATGAGAAAATCAGCTGAAATAAAATCAGGTGAGATTTGATTTGGACATAAATATTTCTTGGTTTGGTGATAAAATTCTAGTGCAGGATATGATACTGAAATGTCATTTCCTGTCCTGTAGGTACTTCAAACTTAATAAGCTCAAAAGAAAATCCATTATGTAAACCTTCAAATATATTCTCTCTCAAATATATTGTTCTTTTTGTGTTCCATCATCTACTCCAAGACAGGAAAATGACTTCTTTCTATATTGTCCCTTTCCTCCACTCTCCAGAACCACTCCATGACCAAGGACAGTTGTTTCTGTCTTTAAATTATGCCACAGCATTCCTCCATTTCTCCCAGCTAATTCCCTAGATCTGATCACTAAATATCTTTCATGTGTAGACAAGTTAAGTATCTGTAACTGGAAAATCTAAAATCCAAAACGCTTCAACATCTAAAACTTTTGGAGCACTGACATGACATTCAAAGTAAAGGCTCACTGGAGCATTTTCAATTTCAGATTTTCAAATTAGGGATGCTGAACTGGTTAAGTATAATGCAAATATTCCAAAAGCTAAAAACATCCTAAATCTGAAACAGTTCTGGTCCCATGCCTTTCAGATAAGAGATACTCCACCTGTACTACAATAGCCTTTTATCCTATCTCCCTCAAACCTCTCCCCAACTCTAGCCAGAATAACCATTTTCAGACACATATTTAATTATATCACTTTTTTGTATATACTCCATTAATGAGTCTTCATTGTCCCCAGGTATAAAGTTCCAACTTCTAACTCACATCTGAATGTTGGGAACAGGATTGGCCATATATACCCATAATTATTTAAGAGGTAATACAAAGAATCTTTTACACAGAATTATCTTTCTCTCTAGCTAGATATGATGCAAGAACATTTACTTTTCAGATTTTTCATTAAAATGCAGGTAAAATTGGAAGGAGTGATGTCTCAGGCTACTGGAATCTTTTGTGACACAGTTTCATTAGATGGCCTAGCTTTCTGCTGGTTGAGATTTAGAATGGCAAGAGGCATTTCCAAGAAATGGAAGGCTTCAAGTAGAGCCAAAAGCAGCCACAGAAACACTACAAAGAGACTTGTTAACAGTCATGTTAGAAGCGTGATTTTAGGAGAAGGAAGAGGAAAATGATAACAAACACCACTTTCTTGACACCTCTGCCCAGGAGGTAAAATTATCTGGTGACTAGGCACTCCCAAGAGCCCTGAGTTGGCACAGATCAAGGTTTCCTTCAGACAAATGTCTTTGACTATGATAATGATAATGACCATGATAAAGTCTAACAGCTCTGTTAATGCAAAAAAGTAACTGAAGGCGATGAAAGTACCTATCATGAACAAGAGATGAGGGACAGACAGGGTATCTGTCTTCAAATATCTCAGTGACTCTTATACAATAGATGGGGCACATTGATTTCATATTACTACAAAATATAACATTAACTCTAGTAGACAAAAATTACAAAGAGGCAAATGTCAGCTCACAAGTTCTCACTTTGTACAGTTTATGCCTAGCACGAAGGTACTTGGCCAACAGGAATGATGAATTTGCAATCTAACAAATGACCCTAGGCTGAATCTAGTGACCTTGGGCTGAATATTTTTGAAATATGAATATTTTGAAAGTATGAAATACTTTCATACTATGCGTACTATATGCATACTAAAATGGTTTTATAAGCAAAGGATGAATTAGCCTGGAAGAAAGGGCAACTTTTTGTAAGTTAGCACAGAGGAAGTGCCTTTTCTAATCTGCCCAAAGGTACAGTAACTCTGAACATTCATAAATGACGAGTTAATGGGTGCAGCACACCAACACGGCACATGTATACATATGTAACAAACCTGTATGTTGTGCGCATGTACCCTAGAACATAAAGTATAATTTAAAAAAAAGAATGTCAAACAGTACTGTCCAGTAACAACATACTCTGCCTCTAGTGTAGGTGGCCAAGCCAAAGTTGAGCGCCACACATCTGTGCTCCACCCACAAGGAAAAAATTGAACCATATGGCCTCAAAAGTTCTTATCAGTCTGATTTCTCTGCTGCCTTAACTTTTTCACTCTATTGTTCTATGCATTATCCTATGGATCTCTGATCCTCAAAATATCTCTCACACCTTTAATGGTACAATCTCTAAAACCTGCTTTGTTTTAGAAGCAAGAGAAATGATATCATATGCCAGCGAGGGCTTATAGTTCATACTCTTCTTTGATTTGTGTATGAATAGGTAATTGGGAAAAAATAATTCTTCCCAGGTTCTCCCAGAAGTTTTTCTGATGCCATTAGGTAAGATGCTACATTGGTGGTTGTAGCAGAGTGGGGATGCAACTTTAGCACAAATATTTTGAAACATGCTGATCTATATTCAGAAGTAGTTAGGATTCTGGCACAACCCAAGCTGAAAGAAGTATATTTTTATTAATGTGGTAAGATCCATTTTTAAAATAAATTTATGAAAAAATTACAATACCTTATTGTGTATATATCTAGCTATAATTGTTCATATTATACTTCATATTTATATAGCACTATTTCCTAATGAACTCATCATATAGGGTTTATTTTGTAATTCCAATTCCATTTGGATTCACCCATGCACACAAGGATACATTACAACAATGTCCCACTGGACATGTAGAAGATATGTCCTCTTTCTGCTTTACTCTTCCATATGCTTTTTTCTTTTCAAATAAAATACAAATTCAATCTTACTATGACATAATTTTTGAAACTGAAACAGTATTATGACCATCTTTCTGTAGTATAATATACAAAGTTTCAAATATATTATTTCAACCACAAAAATAACACTGTAAGATAGGCAGAAAGACTAAAACTTTTCAAATATTCAGGTTTATTCAAGAAATATTTTTTCATAAATACTGAGCCAATATGCATACTAAAATGGTTTTATAAGTGAAGGATGTAATTTTATAAATTTGCCTGTAGGAGGAGTGTTAGGCAGCTAATAATTAGCCATTCGGCATAAATGTAAGTAAATTCTAAATTTGCTTTATGGAATATTCTATTGTTTTATTTTTAAATATGGTACTTAGTAATATTTACAAATTTAGAGAACAAAATTCTAGACATAATATTTTTGTCTCCAATACAAGAAAGAAGGAAAGCACATTTAGATGATTTCCTCTGCCTTAGTTCAGGCTTTGTATACCAGTTTTCTTGTCTCCAATCTCTTTTTCTCTTCCTTTTAAATTTTAATTCTGCTGGTGGAGTCATCTTGCCAAATCAGATTGCAACACTATGATAAAAAAAAATTTTACACCAACTGTGGATCAATACATGATGAGTAAACTGCTGAGTGCAACATTAGGATTCATTCATAACCTGGAATTACATCTCCTGTAGTATACATTGTTGAGAGCTTTCCTAGAAGTCATTTTGCCCTTTCTTATCCCTAACAGAATCCAGATTCAATTGAGGCATTTCAGCCATCAGGAAAAGGGGATCTGCCCTCAGCCCCTGGGAAGAGTCTTGATGGTTAAATAAATGATTATTCCAGATTGACTGCAGTAATACAGTATCTGTACCCAAACTGAAAAAAGGAAATTTTAATTCATCCTCAGGATTAAAGCATGTTGGGTCTCTCTCGCACACATATGCACACCTCTCCCCATCCCACTGGATATTAATAAGAAAGGATCAAATCCACTGGCAGCTATTTTATGATGATAGGATAAGATTTCAGATAATGTCAAAACTGAGGAAAGTAGAGCAAAGTTATGGCACAAACTCTCAAGACGTGTGGGTGTAACACACACAGACTCTCTCTCTCTCCCCCGCCCCACTTTTACAGTACATGCCTGTTAGCCTGATTTCCTTCCCTCATTTTTTGTCTCCCTCTTTAAAACTGCCTAGTTCAAATGCTTTTCTTGAACCTTCCGATCAAAATATCACCTCTGAGACATTAAAGTTATTTTATGTATACCCCAGCTATAATGATTTTAAGTATCTCTTTGAATCCCTAATAACATAGAAAGTCATCCAATTGCAAGTATGATATCTTATTGATCTTGCATCCTGCACAACGCTGAACACAGAGCAAGCATACAATGAGATTCCTGAAGTGAATGCTATATAGCAATATCCATGTCAAGCTTGCTTTGTAGTATTCACAAGTAAAAGCAACGACACAAAATAGTCATTTAGTATGCCAACATGTTTATTCAACTTTTAATTGTCTCACCCTAATACAAATCTCAAACTTTTCCTTCAGCCCATCTTTGGAAATCTTCAAAAGAAAGAAAACATAAATCTGAATTTTCTCTTTTACTTGTAAATCACCTCTAAATAAGCCAAAGGTCACAAACATGAAAGTTAATTTCTTCACTATAACTTTATTTTAATTCAAAAATTCCCCTTGAGTTTTCATGGTAGTTTCTCTTGAACCTCTATAACTGTAAGCACACTTCATGGGGGCTGAACTTCCTACAAAACTTGCTTTTTTTTTTTTTTTTGGAACTTTCTTCTACCTCAATCCACCAAATCACTAGATGTAGCCTTCAATGACATTATTTACGTCTTGAAACCTATCTCCTTTGTTTACACCTGAGTAAGGCCACATCACTGTGAATCCCTTCCTTAGGAATTTATAACTGGGACTAGGAAATTCCAATTGCACTCTGGGCTTGTCCCCTGAGTAGGCTTATTTTATAATATTTTTTATTAATTAAAATTTATTGCAAATTTCCACTGTTAGTGAAGCCACATAGAAATAAAGTTAGGAAAGTTGTGATTCTCCATAGCATCGACTCTTCTACTCAGTTCCCCACCATACAAAAATAAGTCTTAAAGAAATAAAGAAATGTGGCCACCAAATTCAAAAAATCAAAAAGGATATTACTAATCATGTAATAATTTTAGCATTAACAAGTTTCTATTTTCCTTGGCACAAACCTAAGTACACTTCTTAGTTTAGACAACAAATTTAAACTTCTAGCCTCTCTAAATTCATCTATTAATAAAACCAGCAGTTCAGTGCTTAGTTTTGACCTAACCAGCAGGGGTCAGAATCAGAACGAAAACAACCCGAGGAAGAATTCTATGGAATGACATCAACTATATAAGCGAGCAAAAAATCAATTGCTTGCCTAACTGCAAAATTAACATGTAAATAGCAAACATCTCAATGAAGATGTAAACAAGTATACAGCTTCCTTTAGAATTATATCTAACAATTGTTTATGTCTGAAAAAAAAAATCTGAAAAGTTCTAAAGAGAAAATATTAACATTCTAATAAAAATAATTAAATTGTAACCCTCAAGCTGGCTCCAGTAGGTTATGAAGACATAAAAATGCTGTAGATATTACAAGTAGTTTCCCAAGTTTGCATTAAGAACAAATTCAGGTTATCTTGCTTTTGTACATTTTTGTAAATGGTGAAATTATATTCTGAAAATTACTTACCTGTTACATCAGTTTTTATTCCTGCAAGCTTCAACAGAGGTTCAACCTTCTGATAATAAACCTGGGTAGCTTCTTTTTTGTGACTTTGGGGGTTAAGGAGTATTTTTAATGACTTCGGTCTGTTTGGAAAGCCTAAGAAGAAATTTTAAAGACAACGTTGTAAAGTCCTTGTCAGCATTTTTTTCTTTCCCTTTAAAATGACACACAAGTCTGTTAGAATGTGATATGCATTTAAATAGTATTTGCTATTTTTATTTGAAATTATTGCAAGAGAATTCTGAATATAACTTTATTTTAAAACACTTACATTTTTCCTAGCTGTGAAATAGGTATATCCCTCTTAAAATAAATCATGAGTTAGAACAATACATTTATTTTATGAAGATGCAAAAAAGAGAGGCAACTTTGTGAATATTAGGCAGTGCATATGTGTATTTACCAAACCACAATATATCAAATGTTCTTTTAGCATTTGTTTCTGGAAAAAAGCAATGGACTGTAACAAATAGAAGGGTACATTTCCTCTCCTTGGCTAAATGTGCTCATTATTGGAATTGGGCACCCCAGTGACCCCGGGGCTACCAACGCCTGACCTACTGATGAGTCCAGTGCAGAATAGAGGAAGCAGGGATGGGTCAGTGTCAGTACCAAGTGCAGTGCATGCTGGGAGTTAAAAAGAGGGTTTCGGTCAGAGTTCAAGCCTGAAAAGGGGCCGGGGAGAAAGAACTCTTTTGGGAATTGGGAAAGCAACGCCTCTCAGCAGGGATTCGATGACAGTGCTGCCTCACAGTTGGGGCTGAGATTTGATACTACAATTTTCTGGGCTTGCAAGATGCTTATCTCTTCGAACCCAGTTGGAGCAGGTGCAAAGCAAATTTTCTGTTGTTATGAAGGGGCAGGAGGGACTGAGGAGCTAAAAGAAAGCTGACAACCGTTTCTTTTATGGTAAGCTGCTCTCAGAGGGCCACGTTTAAAGATTAAAGAAGCAGTTATTAACATCTATTTTTAATAAAATCCATTACTAAAAAGACAAGTGAAAATTGTCCACTACAAGGAGTCAGTGTATCATACGTCAAGTAGAGAGAATATTTTACTTCTCATTATATTTGATACAATGAAATATTTCCACAGGACATACTGTTTTGATTTTAGGAAGACTTTTAGATGAGGAAGAGATAGGGTCATGATAAACTCCTTAAACATTCCTGGTGAAACTGCCTAGGGCCCTTTTTGGTAAGAAGCCTGCATCAGCCTCCAATCACCCAGGCTGGAAACCTCAAAACCATGCTCAATGCCTTCCTTTTTCCTTGCCACATTTGAATGGGTGCTCAGATTCATAAGATGGTAGCTACTTGCTTCCATGCCTTCTCCCACTGACGTCCTCTGACTTGGGGACCGTGCCCAGGCATGCTGGCTGTCCTCCCCTTCCACTGCATCCTTTGGCATCACAGCTCTGATAAGTGCTGCACAGTTCAAAGGCGGCTATGGCTCATTGCTGCCAAGAGCGAGCCCAAACCCCTTAAAATGACATTCAGAACCCTCCTGCTCCCAATCCCAATCACTCTCCTCTCCTTTCTCTGTCACACGTGTTAAAGAAACATTTACTGGGGAGGCTGAGGCAGGAGAATGGCGTAAACCCGGGAGGCGGAGCTTGCAGTGAGCTGAGATCCGGCCACTGCACTCCAGCCTGGGCGACAGAGCGAGACTCTGTCTCCAAAAAAAAAAAAAAGAAACATTTACTGAGCATTTGTGCTAAGTACTGGGTAGAAGGGCCAAGGGATTAAGATATGATTTGTACTTTAAAGGAGGAAGATGTATCCACAAATACAGACAGCACAAAACACAGAGGCATGTTAACAGAGAAGCACAAAGTACCACAAAGTACAACAGAGTGTGTCAGAGAGGGTGGTTAGTTCTTATTAGGGATCCGGAAAAGGCTTCAAGAGAAGTGAGTATCTGAGTGGGGCTTTTGGCTTGTGCTGTTTTCACCCCCTAAAATTTCCTCCCTCATTACCCCTTATCCCACCCTTTAGCAAAACAGCAGGGGTGAAAATTTTAGGCAATGAGAGCTGCCTGAGCAAATAAATGAAGCGAAATGCGGAGGGTTTTTATGTTCCATTTCAACTTCCTCATCAAGGTCCAGAATCATTGTATTATTGCCAAATTCCTAGTCTGCCGGACCTTCCTTTGTTCACACAGTTTTTCCTTTATGCTCTACCCCATCCCCACTTTTGTCAAAATTTTATGACTTTTCAAAGCTCACTTCAAACAACATTTCCTCAGTGAAGCTTTTCTTAATCAGCAACACAGTTCACCTCTCTGAAGTTTGTCTCAGAGTAAGGCTTCTCTGCTCACACTTTACTCTATGTTCCTCTATTACTGATCTTTATACTACTTACATGAGAGGACTCAGATGAAAGATCCAAACTGAGACAATACAAAACGGAATAATAACAGTAATAGATTATACAACAATTGAATTTTCAAAACACCCAACTTCATGAGTAATACTGACACTAAACAAACAAAAGATGAGAAGAGAACATTCTGTTCTATAGAATAATATTAGGGTAATTAATAAATATAGAAGAATTATAAAGAGAAAAATCACTATTTTCGGTCATCGCAATAATTATTGATTCAGGCAAGAATCACCAATGGGTGCTAAAGCCATCCAGTGACAGTCAGTTGGGGACAAAATATTTATATATTCTTAAACTCTGTCCCTCATCACTCTAATTATTAATACAAAGGGCAACATCTGTAATGGAGACTAAAGGCATGAAAATTAAATGCAATGTGTGATTCTGGATTGGGTTTTTTAAATGCCATAAAGGACAATATTGCTGTCCTTTAACCATGAAGGACTAAGCTTACTTTTAGCTTACTAAAAGTAACCTAGAGCTTACTTATATGAAACGCGACAGGAAAAGAAACTTGCTTAAAGACCAGAGGCCAAGTGTCAGGTTAAGTGTCCTGATTAAGTTTACTTTACCTAGTAAACTTATTGGAATGCCCGGCTTTACTTCTCAAGCAGGGGTAGTCCCAATAAGGACAGTGTTATCACACACACACACAAAAATTTAATTTATCTTCCTATATTCATTTATTTACAAATAACTGCATGTCTGCTCAGTACAAGGCAGAGTTCCAGAAATGGAGGCTCTGTCAGTGAACAAGAAAAGCTTCTGCCCTTGTGAAGCTTCCACTCTAATGGCACAAGACAGAAAGGAACAAGAGTATGTCACGTGGTAATGTAATACCTTCTAAAAATAAAAATGAAGATCACTAGTAGTGGGAGGGAGGGAGGGCAAAGGTGGACATGACTTCCTGGCCAGGGAAGGTCAGGTCACCCTAGAGCCTTGCAGGCATTTACAAGGACTTTGGCTTTCGTAGAGAAAGAGGTGACGCATGGTGAATTTCAATCAATGAAGCCATATGACCTTAGGTGTTTAAAGAAACACTCTGGCTGCTTTGTGGAAAGTAGATAAAGTAGGGCCAAGGGCCACCAAATAAGAACAATTGCAACACTCCAGGTGGGAAATGATTGTGCTTGGACTGGAATGACTGCAGTGGAGGTTAAAAGTTAGATTCTATAAGTATTTTGAAGGTATAGCTGACAGCATTTGTTGACTCTTTGGATACGGTATGTGAAAGAGAAGAGTTAGGGAATATTCAAATGTCTGGCTGGCAAGGGGAAAGTAAGGACTTAAAATGGGTTGAGAACTAGTGAAAAATCAGAGACTCAAATTGTGGTCTCAGAGAAAATTGTCGGTAATGACAATAACAACATCTAAGGAACTGACATCTTCATCAGAATCACCTGAAGTGCTTCTTAAAACATAGATTCTGGGCTCCAGCCCCCAGAGTTTTGGGCTTAGTAGTCTGGGGTGTGGTCTGGGAATTCATATTTATAACAGGTTCCCAGGTGCTGATGATGTTTGCAAAGGGACCACATTTTGAGAACCAACATTCTAGAAATCATCCTCATTGAAGGAGAGGAGACCAAAAACTGAAAAAATAGTTAAAGAAACATAATATTTTAATAGGAGTAGTGTCAGAGAGAGTGAGAGTAAGATAGACTTTAAGTCTTCAAGGAGTAAAGAAAATGACTCAGTAGTCTGCACAGGACTGCAACTAGTAGTGCCAGCTAGAGGTATCTAATGGATTGAGCTTCAACGCTGAGAATTTTTAAGAGAGGTAAAAGGGATTATGGTCTTAAAATTTAAGTGAGATGGAAGGAAGACATTAAGACATTGACAATATCTCCAGGACCAGTGGTATGAAATGTATGGCAGAGAAACCAGTTACCACATTAGAGGACTGCAAAAGTGGTAAAGCTGGGTCACTACTACAGCAAGAACATGGGGAAAATATTTAGAAAGGAGGTTGAAAATTAGGAGATTTTGCTAATAATGGACTATTCAATTCCAGAGGGTAGAGTGAAATGGTGTCTGGAGTTGAGGAGGGTTGGGGACAGTGTCAGGCTAGGGGATGTACAGAGACTTAGAGGCATGGGAGTCCAGGTGATGAAGGTCTTTAGGAAGTGACATGGGGTGGAAGAGGTAAGAATTGTTTGCAGCAGTTATGGTTGGAGAGTAAGGCAGTGGGGGGAAGGGGTCTTGCCCCAAGCACATAGAGCTCTAAGAACTTGTCTTCCCTCCAGCTAATGTCAAAGCTGGGAAAGGAGCAATGCTAACTGGAGCTGAAGGAGCTCCAAAGCCCCTTTCCCTTTCAGCAGTCTTGGAAGTCCTGGAATCTGAACTTACATCTGTCTGGCATAGCCATACTTTTCACCAAGTGACCTCACTGCAAACATTCTACATTTGATAAACACACGCTTGACTGGTTTCTGTACAGGTAAATCATACATATGCTACAGAATTCAAAAATCGCCTTAAATAGCTAATTCACTGATATCTAGTTTCCCTCTTGCAAAACAATCACTGGTATCACTTTGAGAATCCTTCTAGAAATATTTATATACATATTTATATTTATACACATATTTAGATATATATTTATACATATATTTTTTTGTGTGTGTGTATATATATATATATATATATAGAGAGAGAGAGAGAGAGAGAGAGAGAGAGAGAGAGATGAATGGTGTCTTGCTCTGTAACCCA